AGATGCGATTTCTGCCAAACAGGGGAACTTTCATTTTTGCAACAGCAGGTACAGTGCCAAGACCTCAGGTGCCATGACTATTTCTGTGAATACTCAATATGTGTAGACTTCTTTCATCTTTTTTCTTTTGCCAGTGTTTATGTCCAGGCAAAAAGCAAAGGGAGTGTGAAATGTAAAGGGTGTATATATGTCTCCTGCTTCTGTGTACTTTATATTCTGATATTGATCTATATTCAAGTAATACTGGATTAAAATGGGGTTCTTATTGAATTTTCTGTATCACTCAAAAATAAGATGGTAGAACATCTCTGAATCTTACTGTTTCTCAGAATTTGTGATATGAACATCAAAAACAGTGCTCTTTTCCCCATTTCTTTTCATAAATTTAACCATCTATAATAGCAATGGGTCACCTTTCTTCACTGTCTTTAAATCTACTAATCATAAGGACACATGACCCAACATAATTAGAAACAAACAAGGGCATGCCAAAATCCAAGATAATATACATTTTCTGATTAATTTTCCTCAGTTTTTTGTGGCTTGTTTACAGCTCACAGCTTTGTAACTCTCTCAATCTGCGTACAAATTAGTGGGTTTCTATGGTACATTATCCCTGGGAATTAGTATGTTACACAGTGGATGCTATCTCCTGCAGTGCATGTCGCTGGATAAGAGCAGCTGCCTCCCGTTTCAAGTTTGCTCTCTTCTCCCTCAGGTTCTGGGTGGTTTTTCTCCCTATTTATCTACCTCACTCTTCTTCCTCCTGCAAAGCACTTCCCTGGGCTCTGGACTGCCTCTCAGTCTTCACCCAGACCAGCTGCACCGTGTGTCCGCCAGCATCTTCTGCTTGATGAGAATGCCTTCCTAATTAATTTGCACATTATGGGGGGGAACTTTCTGTGAACCCCCTGCCCCAAAATCTCTTTCCTTCCTTTGGGACATAGCCTGTGAGGTTCTTAAGCCCAGTGATACTCATACATCTCCAGGAGCTGGGCAGCATCTCTGTCCTGCACCCCTCTACAGTGAGGGGACACCCCTGCTCACACAGGACTACTGGGGGTGTCCGTGCCCCAGGAATCATCCCACACAGTGATGAGGCACCGTTTGAGCCTGATGTCTCCTCTCTGCTCCTTCTGACATCTTCTCCTCTGGCCTTACCCAATGTTTCCCCTCCCTCCCCATCTCTGCCTATCCAGCCTCTTTTCTCCTCAGTCTCATCCAACACGTAGGCTCTGTTGCCAATTTAAGATCTCTTTGCTTCTGCTCTACTTCTTCTCTGCAGAAACCTGGATGTTTGTGCATACCATCCCCAGACCCTTCCTGCACGTCCCCCATTCCCTGGACCAGCGCCTCCCACCTGGTTTCTGCCTTTAACATAATGTTGATGTAATATGAACCCAGGTCACTAACTGGTCATAAAACAGAGGGAAAAACAAAAACTAGTCAAATATTTAGGCACAGGTCTTTAATAAGACCTTTACACTTCTGACAGCTCTTTAGTAGTACCAATACACCTTTGCCAATCCCATGTCCTTCCTGCCAAGGCTTTGTCCCCTGCAGGGAGTTGGGCTGCCTCTGCTGCTCTCTCCTGGTCCTTCTGCCTCGGGCAGCATTTTGTTAGGGCCTTGCCCAGCCATAATTTTATGGGTGGACTGAGAAGAACACAGTTCTTGCCATTCCCCTGCCCAACAGGGCATGAAGGCTGTGCAGCACAGGGGGTGCAGGATGGGAGGCACTGCATAAACGGCCCACCAGTGTCCACCCAGGGATAGGGACCCCAGAGCCAAGTGCCATGGCATGTCTGGCAGGGATGAGGGAGTTTTCATCACTTTCATTACTTTCCAATTAAAATCCCTGTTAAAAACTGGCTCAGCAAGCTCCACACCCTCCCTTGCCTTGCGTCAGTGGTAGGAGAGGCTGTGGATCGGCTGCACTGCAGCACAGCGTGAGCTGCAGAGCTTGTATCTCACAAAATTAAGTGTGTGGTGGTTTCAGAGGGTAGGGGGGGAGAGGCCACAGTCTCTGAACCAGAGAAGGGGTGGAGGCATCACTGAGGCATGAGATGAGCAGAGAGGAAATGGGCACCCTGGGTGTCTCTGCCCCAGCTGCCGGCTGCCAGGCTTCCTGGGGCATCAGGCACCTCCACTCAGAGTAGGAGGTCTGGGGTCAGTTGCAGCCACAGCCTCTGGCCAAAACGTTGCTGATGACTCAAGCAACTGAGGAGACAGAGATTATGCCACAGCCACATCTCAACAATGTTTCCTGAGACAGGATCTGTTCTGACATCTCTTCTCTGATTTGCCATCCTCTCTGCAGACCTAATAAGGGATGGAGAGAACAGACTGTCCCAGAATTTCATGAAATCTGATAATAAAGTTAGTGTTAGCCCAGTCTGTCAAACCCACCAGCACTGTTCCTCAAGGATGTCATCCCTTGGACCCAGCAGCTTACTTTGACTTTTCTCTTGAGGAAAATACATCGGATCATGCTTTTTCCTGAATAATTGAAATTGTATTTTGATTTAACTCCTCGAGGAAGAAATGTGCTCAGATCCTAATGGGATTATCGTAGTAAGAGTATAAAATAGGTTAGTGTCTACTACAAGTATATTACCTCCCATAGAGAAAAGACAGTATGGTTTATAGTTGGGAAGTATATGCTGCGTAAGTAATTACAAACTAAAATGCTAGGATGGGTAGTGATTTCTACCCATTTGTTCACATTTGCTGTGGTTGCTTCCAAAAGCTCTTATTTCAAAGATAAAGAATACTGTGGGTTTCCTGGTGCACACTCTAAGTGTGGACCTGACACTCCTCTGGCACACGTCCTGGGAAGCTGGGCACTTGGAAATGCCTGCTGGGATCTTCAGATGTCATGGTTGGACTGACATTTCTGAAAATCAGATAAGGTTATCCCTAATCCTGCAACTCTTTTTGCCGTGTTATAGGGACTAAAAGTGCCAGAGAAAATCTCGGGCTTTTTTTTAAAAAAAGAGTAATTGCTTTTTGCCTCGTGTCTGTAGTGATAGTGATGGAAATCTGGTTTTGCTGAATTTTTTTTTCCCTAGCTATCCATCCTAAGCTTCAGGCACCTCATTCCCCCTCAGCCCTAGCAAGCATCAGCCTTTGGGACAGAAGCATCTCCTGATCCCTTGAAGCAGTGAATGGATCTGGGGGAATAATGATGAATTTGGAGAGGTTGCATTGCCCCAGCTGTCATCAGGGGCCTGAGAGCTACTCTAGCAATGCACAGGGAACACTGTGAATAAATGACACTCTGCTCCAATTTTTGCTTTTTCATAAAGCATCTCAGTGAGCTTCATGAGCCATGAAATGCCTTTCGGCACTGTAACTGTTAGGAGATAAATATTGATATTGGGAGGCAAAAAAAAAGGGTTGTTCACTATTCAGTATATTTTACCACAGGAGTTATCAGTTAGTTTTAAAGACAGCCCAGAGAAGTCAGAAGCAACACTGTCACACTGTGTGGCCACAGTGGCAAACAGTTGCGCTGAGAAATTTGTGAGCAATGTCTAGATCGAATCTCGTGAGTGCAGCTGTCTGCCACAAATGTGCAGGGACAGCAGACGCATGAGAGGATGCTGCAGCAGCTTGCCATGAATTCATAGCCAGAACGGGCAGGCTCATGGGGTCCCATGATGGAGCTGCCATTGATCACTTAGCCAGCAGAGCACTCCCCAGGAACCAGACCAGAAAAGCTATTTATTGAGCAGAAAGAAATGGGGCTTCAAATCACAGTGACTGGGGAATGATTGGCAACAGGTAAAAAATGTTTTGCTGCCACAGGAGGAGGCAGGAAAGTGGGGGAGGCTTGGTAACCTCAGAGCTGTGACAAGGGGAATGGGACTGGCAAAAATAAATGAAGGAGCTGAACCAAAGCACAAATGATCACAGTCCCCTGCAGCGACTGGAGTATGGGGGAAATTTTATGCTGGTTTTTGATAAGGAAATAAAGTTTAGTTCAGAGGCAGTGAAGAATCACCTGGAAAAAATAAGAGGAACCACCTGAGGTTGGTGGGTGCAGAGGATGGGGAGTATTCAGCCACAAATCCTTGATGACCATGCTTTGAAGTCTCCCTCAACAGGTAGGATAGGGCCAGGGCCAACATGAAGCATTAGATAAGCTCTACAAACAGAAATGAAAATTAAGAATTGCAAGAACATGGACTGCTTCATCCTTGTTTGAATACCAGCGTTATTCCTGAACAGCCAAGAGTTTACTAGGGCACTTTAAAGTCATGTAAGTAGGTCAGCTTGTTGCCAGAATCTGCTTATCCCCAAAACACATCAAATTACTTCCTGACACACAGCAGATGAGAAGCAGACAGCAGTGAGACATGTCAGTGGTAGCCCAAGGGCATACTGACAAGGCAGAAAACTCCAGAAAGTGAATTTGAATTTGCAAGTGCATTTTGTTGCATGATGCCCAGGTCTAAGCAGTTCCAAAGAAGCTGCTCCTTGTGATAGCAATGGTGCTGCATGGCCCAAGGCTGCCCCAGACAGTGATCTGCCTGTGGGCTTATTCCCAGCCTTCCCTCTGGAAAGCACAGAGCAGATTCTGAAAAAAACTCGATCCCACTTGGCCAACATTTCGCTTCAAGGCGAATCAGTGATACAGACCAGTGTGCCCACCCTAAGTCTGGGCAATGAGGAGGTTGTGTGTTTCTCTGTGGCAGCAGAAAGATGAATTTCCTACCAACTCTCTTGGCTTTCAGAGAGCTCCCAGCCCAGGGAAAAACCATCCTGTAAGGCCTGGGGTTCTGCCACCGCTTGCTGAAGGGACGATGGTGCTCGAGTGGTGACAAAAGGAATTTTTTTATTGCAAAAGGTGTTTTACTGCTGTAAAGCTCTACAGATGGATTTGAAATGTATGTTAATGGGCAAAAAGTCTAATTAGTAGAGTTGGTTAGAGTTATCGTTTATTACAGACGGAAGCTATTATTTTTAACTTTTAAGCAAAGATGAGTTAGAACTGTTAAATGTTTAAAATGTTACTTTTGCTCAAGCTAGCACTTACCTTGCTAAAAGCAATATTCTTTCATTTAATGATAAAATATTGGCAAAACACCTGAGAGGAGCTTTCCTGACAGCCAGCTGGGAGACAGTATGAAACCAGAAACAAATATTTCCACATTTTTTTTTTACCTATTTTCCCCCGGGAATACTTTGAAAAGATTTTCCTCTCATGAAAATGCCCAGCTGCCTCTGGTGAGTAGCTGGAACAGCTGTGGTTGGCGCTGGCAGAGGCCGAGCTGCCTGCCTGGGTCCTTTGCCAGGCAATCAAACCCAGTGGCATCCCACCTCACAAAAATAATCGCTCCCCTCCTTTTGCCGTGCCCTGGCCGCGAGCCCTCGGCACCCCCACCCTCAGTACCCTCCGCCGTGCCCAGCCTGACACCAGCCTTTGGTAAAAAGGTGGATGGAAAAAGCCAAGAGCCATTTCACACACGTGACAGAAGGTAACGCCGCGGGGGTCCGGTGCTTCCCACCGCGCTTCCCTCCCGATGCCCTCACCCCGCCGGTGCCCGCGGCCGCCTCTCTCAGCTCTCCCTTTTCGTGTCGTTTCCGTGCAGCCAGCCGCAGCGGCAGCGCCGGGAGGCCCGTGGCGAGGTGCACAAGCAAGGCAGGTAGGCGAAACCCCCCCGGCGGCTGCTGCTGGCCCACACCGCCGGCCCCATCCCCGTGGCCGGGTGGAGGCTGTGGCAGGGGAAGGGGGCACCGCTCGAGCATACCCGTTGGATTTCGGGAGGAGTCACGCCGTTAGCGGGATCCAGGGGGACCCCGGAGGGAGCCATGTCGGCTGGCACCCTCACGGAGGTGAGGTGTGATGCCGTGGTCGTTCACCACAGCCCCTCGGGCTTCGTGTTGCGCTGCTGCACAGTCTGTGTTGCTTGTGCTGTGGGAGCAGGCACCTTCCCTCCGAGCATCCCTTCTGCAGAGCTGAGCTCCCCTCCACCGGCTCTCCAACACACTGCTCGCCCTTCCCTCTGCCACTGCCAGGGAGAAAGTGTCTTTCTTAGCATGGTAAAGTGTCTTTCTGAACATGCTCAAGCCTCCTCACAAATGTTGAAGGTTTTGCCATTGACCTGCTAATATCGCTTCCCCCATCTCAGCTGGGTATAAACTTTGCCTCCTGCATGCTCACAATGCCAGAGGTCTTTCAGGGGCTGAATTAAATCTAAAGCATAAGCAGGGGCCACATTTTAAAATGTCTGAGGGATAATTTATGACTAGAAGAAATCACCGATGGAAGTAGACGACTTGCCACTCCTAGAAATTATTGAAGTGAAACTGAGCATCTTTCTAAGATACTCCTTAGTCCAGATAAAGCTCAGGGTTTGAGAGAAGAGTTGCTGATAACACTGCTGGTCTCTTAGGAGATTGTTGAATTGGCTTCTCATGGTACGGCTGCCCATGGGTCTATGAGGAATAGAGCATGGCTAAGCAGTCTCATTTAGGAGGAGCTTTATCTCAGGAACATATTCCCCATCAAGTTTCTTTGTTGTCTTGTTTTCCTTTAATCTATTTCTGACTTGTCTTGTGTGTATAATCAGACAAGTGCCTCTCTGGGCATGCCATCTTTTCTGAAACCAAGAACCAGCAAAACCTTTCCTCCTATTTTTGAGCCCTCCTGCCATCTGAGCAGCTGGCATGCAGCTGGCTCTGAGGGCAGCAAGGCTTCACCTACATGGTAGAGCAACTGAGAAGCTGCTGCCACCACCATCCCAGCCAAAGCACTGGGGCGTTGAACAGCATTTTGCACCTTGGATGTTGAGGAGGAGCAGAGCATCCTCTTCCCAGCATTTAGTGCAACTCCAACAGCTTCTGGAATGACTTTCCCAGGCTTTTTAATGCTCAGAGACCTCCCAAGTCTTTAATGCTCCTTTTTATCCTCATTAGAAATCTGGGACAGGAGGTAATCATTTTATCCCAAGTTAGGGGATGGCCTGCCTCCTGGCCTGATTCCCAGCCTCTCTCCATTTTGTTCCTGGGCAACAGCCAGTAGCTTATTTGATATATTTTTTTCACTAATTCCTGGCCTCATGCCTCACTTATCCACACACACTGTTCCTCCAGCCCACACTTTTGAATGATTGTCTCCAAACTGTTCTATAAGCAGAGATAATTTTACAGAGGCAAGAAGTCACCAAACAAATGTTTTTTCAGTGTCAGAGGTTTTCTCAGTTATTACAGGTGCCTAAGCTGTATGTTTAGTGCAGGAATAATTTTTTAATGACATGCTGCCAACTACTGCAAGCAATCGCATGCTTATGGTCTACGGGGTAAATGGCCTCAGGGCCCATGGCGCGAAGCGAGTCCGTACCTCTCACAGGCACTGCTCAGGGCTCATAGCTGTGCTTCTCTCTTCCTGGTAGCCCAATCCTAAAACGAAGCCCTGACATCACCAAAGCTCCCCTGATGAAGTCAGAGCAGCTGCTGCGAATAGATGACCATGACTTCAGCATGAGACCAGGTTTTGGAGGTATGAAATGTGTACATTTGTCACTGTTCTTGGTTTACACCGTCACTTCTTTATACTGTAGCATATACTCAGGTGAACAAGCAGATTGACAAGCGGAGCCTTTTCTGTCTCAAATTTTTGTTATTTTGTGTTGTGAATTCATGACATGCTTGGGGGGATAGGGGTGTAGTGAAATAGCCTTCTTCCTTGGATGAGCAAATAGCATAGTCAAAGACATGGAAATGTGATTACAGGCAATATAATATTCTTGGTATTCAGTGACACTTTCTGCTGATAAAAATTTGCGAATACACCTTATGTTTATTCCTGGATGATGGGGAAATTCTAAGACTTTTTCTTACTATGGTGGTGTGTGTGCATAATCAAATCACATAACATGCTTACTGACCTGGCCATTTCATGTATAACCCAAAAGAAACTATTTTGACTGCCATGTGTTAATGCTGGCTCACAGTTTTGTGGCTGTGTGCTAGAGCAACCTAAGCTTTCAGGGAAATGGATGAAGCAGAACACCCTTTCTTTCAGCCCATCGGATTAGAGAATGTTGTAATTTATCTACCCTTTCTGGCTGACAGATGGTCATTCAAATCCAGGATACTATTATATACTCTGATGGAAGAAGATTTTATTGCTAAGTGCTCAATATACCAAATACCAGCATGTTCAATTAATTTAAAAAGGTTTCAGTTTCATAGCAGTCTGCTAATGTGAGCATTATTTATCTTGACAGATCTCCTGTACTGTAATTGCCAGAGGTATATGAGGGGCTAGTCAAAGCCTGGAGGAGGGAAACAAGATCAAAACCCCTATTATGCGGGGTCACAGTTGGATCCTTCCCCTCGGGAGCCCCAGGCTCAGTGGCACATGCCTGTGTCCTGCAACATATCCCCTCCCATCACACTGTCTTCTCCACAGCTGAGCACTGAGTGATGTGAAAGCCAAATGTGCGGAGTAGCTCTCAGGGGTGTTTTCTGCCTGAGAGGGGAGCAGAAGTGAGGGAGAAATTCCGAGTAACTGTCTCACATTCCATCAGCTGTGCTGCCACTGCTCTCCATGTGAATGGATGCTCTGCCGGGCATCCTTTTCGCAAGCCCTGGACCCTAGTGCTAGAGCTAAAAGCAATTGAAGGTGCTTTTAAATTTTGAAGAAACACATGTAGGATGACACAATAAAAAGGGAAAGTCAGTAATAGGTCAGTCTTATTGCTGATTTTTATTGTTGTTAGGAGGTTTTTGTTATTAATTCAAATCACTTCTTCTTTCAGTTGGTTTACTGTTCTTTCTATTTCAGACTGAGCATCTATTTTTACTTCCAAGATATGAAAGCCAGAGGAGTACTTTATGCTTTGTCAACTTTAATTTTTTTTTTCCCCTAGGCCCTGCAATTCCTGTTGGGGTGGATGTTCAAGTTGAAAGTCTGGACAGCATTTCTGAGGTGGACATGGTGAGTCACAGAAGGGCTAAGGTCAGATGAGACCTCTGGAGACCATGTAGCCCAAACCCCTGCTCAGAGCAGGGCTGGCTGGAGCAGGCTGCCTGGGTTTGTGTCTGTGGGGTTTGAAAACCTCCAAGGATGGACACTCCACAGACTTTGTGAGGCAGATTTGGGTCTGATCTGAATCTGCCAACAATTACTCCTATTGACCTCGTGCTACCATTTCATCTCCCTTGAAACAGAGGGAAGAAATCTGATATTTTCTTTTCTCTATGACAAAATGATACAAAGGATTTGGCTTTTTTACATTTTCTAAAGAAGTGATAACATGTTTAAAAGCTCCGAGAAGACCAATTAATGTTTTAGTTTTAAGGCACTTTGGTATACCGCAGACAGTCTCGCTTTGGCCATGTTCTGAGGTGGTTGAGAGCCAGCTAGCTCCCAGCCAGAAGCCATGTAGCCATCCTGAGAACAACGCTGGTTCAGACCGGTATATCCTGGGCTTGACAGGGCAGCCAGAATGAGCTTGGAGGGGAGATGTTTCTCCAGAACTTGCCTTTGGCACATTAGCAGTTTTATCACCCCTGCTGCATGCTGGGGACCAGCATAAGGCTCTGCTGGTCCTTCCTGTATTTTCACACTGATGCTGAAGTAGGGTTTCAGAGGCACGCAGGACTAATGCTGGTGGTCTGCACAGGCTAAATTCTTTACTAAGTCTCTCGTCCTTCATTTCCTACCATGCAATTAGTAATGTGAAAACGGTCAGTTTTCAAACGCTCTCGACGTGGTGCGGATTTTGGTCCTGAAGATTTTTGCTGGAGGAGCTTTTTTCATCACAAAGCACTGCTGAAAGTAAGGTATAATTTCTGCTGGAGATTTTCCATGAGAAGATTTTACATGCACACATGACATGCAAACAACAGCTTGTGCAGGAGAGCAGGACCACAGTGGGGGAACGGGAGATGGCTCTGCAGGCATAATGCAAGACCTACACCAACTTTATTCACCCTGTCAAAATCCGGAGCTTGTCAGACCTACCCTGTTAGAGCATCCCCAGAGTCTCTCAGCAGCTCAACTTTTGCTTTGGAAGGGAAAAAAAAAAAAATCACACTCCAGTGCAGAATACTTTTCAAAATGTTTTGTTCTTTCAACAAACGTATCAAACAGCTCTGAATCTTCCACAGAAAGACCCAGCTCCTCTGTGCTCTTAATTAACAGCCATGGGGTTAAAGAGCCTGTGCCCAACCTTCTCCCCGTGTCTAAGCCAGGAACATGGCTGTGTGCCTGCAAGGCCGGAGTCCTGTGGCCACCCTGCTTGTGCGCTGGGCTCTTCTCATTGCAGCTATTTCAGCTTTTGAGAGGGCCGGGGTATCTGCAGTCAACCGTCCACCTTGCAGGGTTGCAAAGCTGAGGCACATCAGGGTGCACATTCTCCCCAGCCCTGGGGAGCCCTCCAGTTGTCCCCCTGTGTCTGGTAGCACCTGACCTCCAGCCATGGCAATGCCCATCTTGTGCCTCTCCCGGGATGGTCCCAGCCCTTCTGGTTGAGGAGGAAGCTTGTGAAGGTGGCCAGAAAGCCCCTGAAAAGCTTTGGGGCTTGAAAGCAAAGGGAAAGAACTTAACATTGAGGATTTTGAAGTGAAAAAAAAAAAAAAAAAACCAAACAAAAAAAACAACAAACCCACTCATTTCTTAAGCAAGCATTATGATTTTGAACAACCTTCCCTGGTTTTTAAGTACTGCCCTGGCTCCTCATGTAACATCATGCTGCAACACTCAGCAATATGGGAAAAACACCATATTGCCTTGTGTAAAAAACCACTCAGGGTCAATTTTGGCTCTTTGCAAAATAATGATGGAGCAGACCTTATATTGTCAGAATAAATTATTTTTAACTCATGTGGCTTTATAGAAAAAGGCCATGGTGCTTTGTGAGATCATTGCTTGATTTTTAAATGAAGAGACATCAGTGGCAGGGATATTCACTCTGTACTAAATTTAAGCTTGAGGAGTTAGATATATCAAACCTTCCTTTTTTTCTCCTACTTTCCAACTATTTGCAAGAAAGTGGTAAAATAATAGAGGACATTATAAAGCTTCATTAGGATGTCACAAATCAGATTCTTTTTGTCCAATCAATTTAAAAATGCATAAATATCTATTATGGGCCAGTGACCCTGAAATGGACAAAGCTTTTTGCAGAATGTGTGGGGCAGCTGTTTTATCTGGAGGAGAAATGAAAAGAAGTTAAAAACCAGATTGTTACCCAGGATTGGAAATTAATTTGCAAACATAATGGGAGAGTTAACAGCGTCTCTGAGAAATGGGCCAAAAGAAGAGGGAGATATTATATGGTTGTTGCTTGGGGGATTTTCAGATGATGCATTATAAAATATTGTGGTTCCCAGTTTAATAGCCTAAAACTACTGTTAATAGATCTTCCCTAATGAAAGCTGACAATACTTGATTTTTCCACAGCAACCATAAATGTAACTTTGTGAGAAAAAATGAGGCATTGACTTCTCACTGAAGAACAAATGTCTGTCAATTTATTACTGTTTAAAGGACAAGTTAACACACAGGAGTCAATGTGAAAGGTTTCCCAGAATGATCTTCTTTACAGTTGAATATAGGGAAAAGATGTTAAAGAATGCTATAGAATGAATCAAATGAAAAAGAAGAAATTCCATGGCCAGTGGCTTTGGGAGCTTGAGTTGGATGCTGTATAAAGCATTTCCAAGAATTTGATCGGCCTCTACCGTAATAATAGCACAGACTGCAACTAACAAATCACTTCTACTGAAAAAAAAGACTGCAGAAACCCTCATATTTCAAAATGCTTGGAAAGTGTCATGGAAAAAAATTAAAATGTCAAATAATTTCAAAAAACCCCACCCAAACCCTATCCGGCTTCGTCTACCTCAGACACCAGGGAAGACCGGTCGGTTTTAGGCACTTCCCTCCGGTTATGGGCAATATATTATGCTGCACTCAAAGATACCACACTTATAAACAGCTGTGAGTGATCTTATCTTCAGATACATGAGGGCTTCCTTTGAAATAAGGAAAAAGGCAAACCCAAGTGTATGTGCTTCTGAGACCTGACTCCAAATACAACAGAGGTCAAAGAGAAGGAGCATACATCAGATTTAAGCGTACGATATGTAGGGGAAAAGAGCAAAAAAATCCCATTTTTGTCAAATACGGAGTCAAAAAGGTTTCAGTGGCTGTGCTGGAGGAAGAGTTCCCACTGCAGGAGGCTCTTCCAGTTGCCAGAGCAGTGAGGAGGGCAGCGCAGGCAGCAAACGTTTCTTCACCGTTGGCTCCAGAAACAAAGCATCATATGGTTGGGGGATTAAGTGGCTGGCAGCACTCTCCACCTTGGCGTGTCTGCCTCTTGGTCCCTGGAGTGGCTCGCAGACACCAAAATGTAACGTCCTTTTCAGGGGTGGATTCGCCACCCGGATGGCCTCTGATTTCTGAACCCAGTAAGTCAGTTGGACCTGTGGAATAAACAAGCTGCAGCCAGCCATGTCCCCTGCAGCTCAGGGAGTGGATGTGCCTTCAGGAATGGTGCCTCACAGCTTGTGGTTTGTCTCAGAGGGGAGAAATCACTGATATTCTGATAAGGTGTAAGTTGCAACACTAGCCTTTTTGTTGCAGGACTTCACCATGACGCTTTATCTGAGGCACTACTGGAAAGACGAGAGGCTGTCCTTCCCCAGCACCAACAACCAAAGCATGACCTTTGATGGCAGGCTGGTGAAGAAGATCTGGGTCCCCGACATGTTCTTCGTCCACTCCAAGCGCTCCTTTATCCATGACACCACCACAGACAACGTCATGCTGCGGGTCCAGCCAGATGGGAAGGTACTTTATAGCCTCAGGTAAAACTGCATTTGGTCAATGTGAGCTATTAGTGGAGTGGGAGAGGAAGCAGCCTAACTGATTCCTGAATTGTGTTTTTGCATGACTTCATGCTTTAAAAAAAAAAAAAAAAAAACATAAAAAAAAATGAATGTGCTGGCTATTCACCAACATGTGAGTCCCTGTGCAAGTTCATTAAGTGCCTGTCATGGGAAACCAATTTCTGTGCCAACGTTGCTGGTTCCACCGGTGTCCTTTCACCTTGTGTGCATGGTGAGCCGGGGACCAGTGGGCTTCAATCCCCACGGGGCACTGCTGAAGAGGCAAGGAACAATCTGAGTAACAGGGATATGTCTGGTAATAAGTTCAGAAGTCCAGAGCAGCTCTAGGTATCCACTGCACAATACAACAAAGTCTCTTGGCCTAACAAAATGTACAATTTATATTCTTATAGGTAATTACAAAGAAGTATTAGTTATACTGAGTGCAACTTTAACTGTATGGTAAATAACAAAACAGATGGAACATTCTTCAGCACATGAAGTGACAAGCTTCAGAGCATGGGTATATAGCTCCTGGTGACTCAGACGTATGGCTAGATCAATCCAAACACCTGACTTCAGCTCTCCCTGCTTTTTGTTCACATTTATTGTGAAATGCATGACCTCAAAGGGGACATTTTGGATAAACTTTGTTTTGTCATCTAGTTTAAGGGGCACTCCCAACCCTGGATCTCTCCCTTATTTTCCAGCTGATCAATCAGCTTTGAGAGGAACATTGCCAACCTAAGTCTGAACATTATTAGGCCAGTGTTTTGTTTTGTTTTTTTTTTTTTTTTTTCTAGTAAGTAACACTTTCATACTTGGACACACTAAGTGAGGAGCATCTGTCAGTCTCCAGAAGAAACTAAATTCTGTGGTTGTTTTTCTTGGCTGCAGCTCCATCCAGTTAGAAAACAAGTATTGCCAAATGACCCATAAAAATATATGAGAGAAAATTTCTGTAAAATATCCTGATGCAAAAACATCAACATCACCTTCACAACAATGAAATAGCAAAATACATGATAAATAAACAAAGCATCAGGTGATAGATAATGTATTCTGAAGGAAAATTTAACTGATAGGAAGTCAGATTCAGCAAGATGCGTAGATTTAACTAATGATAAGGTTGCAGAACATGTTGCTTAGGAAGGCTGTGGAGGTCTTTAAGGACATGTTGAACAGCAACCTTAGGAGCGGCAGAGGTAGAGCTGAGCCTGTCATGAGATGAGCAGATCAACTTCTCAGCCTGCCAAGGTGTTTTATGGTTTTATGAAAGGAAGGCAAGCAGAGCAATTCTTGATTCCCTGGGGGTTATCAGTTTGACAAGAATTTTCTTGTTCTCTGACATTTTTATCTTACTGTTCTTTGGAATTCACAGCCTGAACAGTCTCTACCTTCTCATTATTAAAGCTTTCTCTTCACTCAGCATATTAGACAAGGGTCAGGTGTTCCTTTAGGCCTTTGCAAAGTTTGCTCAGGACCTTAGTAGAATTTAAAAACAGGACAATAAAATGACATAATGGTCAGCTACAGCATGCACTCCTATGTACTCTTTCATCTAGCTGCATGGTACCAATTATCTGTGTTGCAAGCATTTATGGTTGTCTAAAGCAGATGGGAACAAAAGAATATCAAACTACTCAGATCCTGCCACGCACAGTCTTGTGCTTAAACAGTTGTCCTGTACAAAATGGTGGTGAACGTCTTGAATAGCAAATTGACAGAGTTTCATTATTTTAGTCAGTGGCGACTGCAGGTTGGAACACTTTATGAATGCTGCTCTCCCCCAAAGAGCGAACGGGTCATTATTGCCTGCCTGCCTTTGCTGAATGCCTTTGCCTGTAGATTATATTTTTCCTAGGTGTCTGTCTTTTTAAGGTTCTTTGCCAGACTTTGTCTTCCACTATAGCCCTCACTCGCACCTAAACAACAAATCTGAGCCAAGCACTTTCACTCAGAAAGGAAATCCAGATAGGAAAGTGCCCTGGTTGGGGCTGGCCTAGAGCTCCCGTTGGTCTGGCAGCGGGAGGAGCTGCAGCCCCCTGAGACCCCAGGGGCTCCCCAGGGCCCAGTGCCCTCACCTGTGTGCGGGGGCGGGGGGAGCACAGCTGGAGGGCTGGGCCCCGATTGGCCGATATCCCCTGTCACGTGACATCACGCTCACTATATAAAGGCAGGAGTGGGCGGGGAGGGGCTCTTATTCCCAGGAGTGTGGCTGTGGGGCCTTTGTGTTGGGAATCACCGGCCGGGAGCAGGCGGGAGGTGAGCAGCTGTATGGTACATTACCTGTCGGTACTGCTGTCAGCGTATTGTTCTGTTACTGTTATTGAACTGTTGCTATCTCCACCCGCGAGTCTCCCTTTGCCCCTCCGATTCCCTCCCCATTCCCCAGTGGGGGCAGGGTGGGTGAGCGGCTGCGGGGCGTTCAGCTGCTGACCACGCTCAAACCACGACAGAAAGCAACATCAGCGGGAACCCACACATGCAGAAGGACTACTACCATAAGGGACTGCATTGTGGTTTTATCATTATGTGATTCTTTCTCCATTATGATTTATACTTCTTTCTTCATTTACTTCCCTAGAGCTCAAGCCAGTTGAGTCAAGATTCATGGATGTTTCCAGTGCCAACACAAAATCATGCTATTAAAAATGAGATAATCAGACTATAGCAAGACGAGAGCTTTTGGTTGATGGGGCAGAACATTTCACTGGTCTCTGTTGCATACCAGCTCCAGCCCTAACTCAAGGCACTGCCTGTGCCCTCTGGTGGCTGATACCCATGTGTGATCACTGGGTTCTCATTGACCAGCTGGAAATTCACTGTGCAGAGAAAACTACCTGCATCCCTCATGGCAGCAGGATAGCTTTGATAAATGTAAATTATTTTATTGTACTAAGCATCCGCTGAAAGCATAGATCTCTGCAGAGAGGTGTTTGTTGATAGTCTAAGAGGAAGAAGTGACCTCTGCCCTTTCCCATTTCCTTCTCCAATATTTTTGTTATCTGGTAGTGACTTGTAATGGCCTAGCTGTCTAGTCATCTCCTCTAACACTAGTTTGCTCAGAAGAAGAAATGGCTTTAACTAAAGTGGAATGGCTTTAGCTGAATGGAAGGTATTTATTTTTAGTGGGCTGTTTCTGGCAAGATAGTTACTTAATAAAAAAACAAACTCACAGCTTTACTATTTTTCAGTCACATAAGAAGACAAGTTTTTAATGGAGTGTTTTCTATTATTCCTAGAGTTACAGTAACAGCAATGTGCAACATGGATTTTAGTCGCTTTCCCCTGGACACACAGACATGTTCCCTGGAGATTGAAAGCTGTAAGTAAAGTGGAGGTCTAGGGGAGCCAAGGGCTGCACCCCATGGGCACCCAAACTGTATTTAATTATACCAATAATTACACTGATAATTAAACTGCTGCTAAATTTATGGAAGCTCTAAGCGAAGTCAGAAGACTTCAACACTAAGAAAAACTCCCTGCCCATATTTTTCACTACCATTATCACCTGTTTGCCACAATGCAGTGTTTTTAGAAATTACCTGAGTACTGCCTTGACAGTGTCCCTGGAGGCCAGCCGGGCTGCCCCACTGCCACCCCATCCCCAGAGGCCCTGGGCCACTTGCCTGCAGGTCAGCAGTCTCCAGCAGCGCCCAGGTGCCCTCAAACACATAAATAAATGGCCATGTGCCCTTCATGTGCACCATCTGCTCTTCTGTGGTGTAGAAACCATGATGGGGCAGTGACATTAATCACTTTCCTCTTACATTTCTTACACCTATTAGAGATAAACCCAGTTTATACCCACACATAACTCATTTGTCCCAAGTATGACATGCATACAAATTTGCTAGATTTCATGCAGTGTCATTTTAAACTTTTAGCATTTTAGGAGGTTTTCTCTTCTCCTTCCTAAACTTGCAATAAGAAATTATAACCTTAATTCTGTGTTAATACATTTATGTGTGATTTTTTTCTTTCTGTCTGGGAAGAGCTGCTACTAAACCCACCTGAAAGAATTAACATCCTTATACTTCCACATGTATTAAAAAAAAGCAAGACCTGCAATGTTCACGTGTGCATCATGGGCAGAAATTTTACCCAAGTATTTTTCCCTATTGTTCCTCCTGTTACTCCAAGCAGGCTCTTTCCTTTAAGCTTCCTTTCATTTGCTTCTGATTTTAGGACGTTTATAAGGGACAGTTTTTCATGTTCTGATGCAGTGGGTGGGTTACCTGACACACATATTATGTGTGCAAAATTATGATTAGAGAAACAGAAGGGTTTACAAAATGCACCAGACATCAGGCCTGAGGGCTGTGACAATGAGCTAGTCCACTTCTTGCCGCAATCATACCCACCGTCGTCGCAGCTCTCGGCTGCGTGGTGGCATCGGGCCTTTTCAGCTGGGACCTCCACAGGTGGCCTGGGAGGTGTGTGGGCACACCCTGGGCTGTGGGCGTGATAGCAGCCGGCTTTGTGCACCGCACTGAGGTTTGCTCTGCTCCCCTAGATGCCTACACTGAAGATGACCTCATGCTCTACTGGAAAAACGGGAATGATTCCCTAAAAACAGACGAGAGGATATCGCTGTCCCAGTTCCTGATCCAGGAGTTTCACACCACCACAAAGCTCGCCTTTTACAGCAGCACAGGTGGGTACCTGTGGGAAGGGGAGGAAGGGGTGCAAACCATCCCTCTCGACCTTGGCCATGGAGATCCATGGATTGTCCATTGGGAGGGCTCCCTGTGGCCCATCAGACCTGCCTCCCTTCTAGGCTGAGGCTGCTGTCCACACCACAGACTTCCATCTTGGTGGTTATGTAGTCTGGAAAGGCAATCACTCTTCAACATCACACCAAGCCTTAATAAGAATTGAACTCTCTGAGTGCACAGGTTATATTATCTTCTCTGGAAGATACAATCCTGAGAGACATCTTGACTTTGATAGTTGGTTCAATAAGGAGCCTTTTCTGTAAATTGCAATGATCTGTGGTCATTAACTGTGTTTTTCTAAAAGCAAATGAGGCGCCACTCCCCTGATGCAACATCACCTTCTCTGAAAGTAGCTTGATGTTGGTGTGACTTCTCTTTTTCCTTCTCTCTGTTACACAGGGTGGTACAATCGCCTCTACATAAACTTCACTTTACGCCGACACATCTTCTTCTTCTTGCTCCAAACCTACTTCCCTGCCACCCTCATGGTCATGTTGTCCTGGGTGTCCTTCTGGATCGATCGCCGAGCAGTTCCTGCCAGAGTCCCGTTAGGTAAAAACAACCCTGTAGTCAGCAGACCTGAGAGACGGTTGCTGCAACTGCAGCCTTGACCATCAAGATGAAATCCCCTGTGCTATGCACTGCCCCCTCATTGCACGGAAATCAGCTGTGCCACACGTGTGTCCCCCATGGTACAAACTCTTAATCTGCCCTGCAGTGCCAAGCAAATTGCCTTCCCTGCTTGCAAAGGCCCTAGCTGCATGCAGTGCAAATCGGGGAGCAAACGTCCTGCTCTGCTTTCATTGCTGTTAACAGAGACAGGGCACGTACAGAGTCAAAGTGTCAGTATCCTGCTGAGATTTTGGTGAGCAAGAAAGTGAAAGTCAGTATTAGCGGCTGAACAAAACTTCAGTTTATTGAGTTTTACTAGAGGAGGGAGGGTGGAGGTAACAGCTGAGCTGCGCTGTTCAACTTGTTAAGTGAGATTACAGTCCAATGTGAGTGATGCAGCTTCCCCTTTTGCAGCACCTTTCGGGCAGATGAAGCCATAGGTCAGAGGAGTCACTACAGGAGCAGAACTATGATATGGACAGAAATCTTCTTCTAAAGCAGATTCTTTGCCTTTAGCAAAGTGCTGTTTGTGTTTCTGCAGAATTTGAGCCCAAGCTTCCTTCCCCTTATTCCAGGCAACACGCCTCAGGATTTTATTTACTGTTAAAACCATATTCCACGGTGAAGAGGAAATACAGAGGCATAACAGAGATGGCAACAGGGCAGTTATCCATGTCTGTGTTTAGAAACAGCTTTCATTGCCTTGAGACATCAGGAAGAGGAGCATAAGGATTTGGGCCATGGCTTTTGGGAAGATGTAGTCACTGCCTTTAGCAATACTTTTTAGCACCTAGATACTTGTGTGAATTCATTCCTTTGTGCTTATATACAGAATTTCAACTTTTCAAGGGATCATAAATGTGACATAATTAGCCCCTGAAATAAGAGGGCCACAGAGAGCTTCCCTCAGAGGCAGGATAACACCAAACTACAGTGTCTCCTGCCCTTGCTGATGTGCTCATTGTGCTCGCCCACGGTGTAAGGTGGGGCAGCATTGCCCTGTGGGGCCCCGTTTGAATCTGCTCTTGCTCTGGGAAAGGCACCGACCAGGCACAAGAGCTCGCTGGTGACTTCCCACAAAGCAGGACTTCCCAGGAGCAGGTGGAAAACACAGGCCTGGGGAAACTGGTGGGAGCAGCAGCAGCAGCAGATGGGCTTCGCTTGTGCCCATGCTGTGGAGGAGTTGAACTAGAAGCTGAAATCCTCAGAATCATAGAGTCATAGAATATCTCAAGTTGGAAGGGACCCATAAGGATCATCAAGTCCTTGTACCCCTTCAAGGACTGTACTGAGCCTGGAGATGGGGTTCAGCCAGCACAGTGTCAAAGTACTGCTGCCTGGCCCTGGGGTGGGAGGCTGGTGGTGTGGCAAGGAACACCCTGACACCAAAACTAGAGCTGTTTTCACCGAAAAGACAAGAAAACCCCAGTTAGAAATCAGGGCTGCTCGGATCCTCCTCAGGCAGTGAAACTCATCACCCAAATGTGAAAAACAATACTGCTAGTTAAATTCAGACATCAGGAAATCATAACGACAGCTGTATTTGTGATGAAGTGTCTGGTTTGAAAGTGTCTTACAGTCTCTCTGCCGGTGTATTTCCAGGGATAACCACCGTGCTGACCATGTCCACGATCATCACCGGGGTCAATGCCTCCATGCCTCGTGTTTCCTACATTAAAGCAGTGGACATTTACCTGTGGGTCAGTTTTGTGTTTGTCTTCCTCTCAGTGCTGGAATACGCAGCAGTGAATTACCTGACTACGGTGCAAGAACGGAAGGAGAGGAAACTGCGGGACAAGGTGAGGCTTTCTGTCCCTGAAGCGGCTTTGTGCCCCTGGGAAGAGGTATGGCAAATGTCTGGAAACGTTCACAAGTTTGCAACTACAGCATGCTGATCTCAGCTGCCTGAGGAGAATGCAGGGCGTGCAAAAAGACACTGGCAGTGAGGCATTCCGGTTTATAAATTTTGCTACAGACAACACACGCCCAAGCTCACTGCTCTTACACTTCAGAGTCTGAGGACACTAACTCCCTCTACATATAGTCCTCCACCGCCTGTATAAATGGGGTAGGTTTTAGGATTTTATCTTTAAATATTTTTTATATTGAAGATCCAAAGCTGTGAATAGCACCAGATGAATACTGCATTTTGGGTTTCAGATAACATGGCAGATATCCCCCACGGTCTGAACTTACACAGTGGTCCCAATTTCCCCCTTCTGCCTTCATTATATTAAATTATAACCACCCAAAATTTCAGCCTAAGCTCTTCTCTTCAAATGGGGCAAGCCTCATACATGCCTCCTTGTGGCTTCCCTTTGGTCATTTCTCTGATTTTCAAGGTGCAGGTCCATCCTTTATTTACAGCCTGGTAGCTCCTTTATTTACAGCCTGGTAGCCGTGCTTGAACCAAATGAGCTTTTCTACAGACAGCCCTGCTCTCTCCCGGACTGCACCGTGTCCTGCAGACATGAAAATGGAGAAGGAAGAAGCCACTGCCCAGCTTCATCCTCTCATTCTCCCCTTTGTGTCCCAGCAGCCTGAATTCCCCAGGCTTCTCCCCTCCTCTGCTTTTGTAAGGAGAAAAGGGATGTCTGTCTCTATCTGGACCCAACTCATAAACCACCCTGCACTTACTTGTGTCCACAGCTTCCCTGTGCGTGCAGCCTACCTCAGCCTCGGCCCATGATGATGGATGGCAGTTACAACGACGGGGACGTGAATGAGCTGGGGCACTACGTGTCCGAGAACGGAGACAAACAAGACCGAATGATGGTGCAGCTGGCGCTGGGGTCCGAGAGGGGCTCAGGCAGGAGGAAAAACCAGAGATATGTCAGCATGAGGATCGACACTCATGCCATCGACAAGTACTCCAGGATAATATTCCCTGGTGCATACATTCTATTTAATTTGATATACTGGTCCATTTTTTCATAAATATACATAGTCACAGAGTGTTGGGACATTAAATGAAAGTACAGACTCATAGGCTACCAGAAAGAACATGGAGAATTGTTTTAATTGGAGGGGAGATTGGTTTTTTTTCAGGATTTAATTTTTTTTTTTAAATTAGATGCAACTCATCTGTGGCATAACTAATCGTGCAAGTTACACATTTCAGCAAAATATAGGATATGCAATCTAAGATTTTATACTTATTTAAAGCTGTGCTATGTTCCTTCTTGTGCCTCACAGGCCACTGTAAACTAGTTAAACAAATTACTATAATTGCCAGCTGCTTATCTATGCTCCATTTTGTCCCTCTGAAATCCCAATTCTCTAAGTACCTGCCTGAGTGCATGCATACGTCTCTCAACTCAGCAGACTTACCACATTCAATACCAAGAAATACAGGAATATGCAAATACTTACGTGTTTGCAGAAGGCCAGAAATGGTCATTACAGACACAAAATATCCAGTACCGGGAAACACTCTGGCAAGACCACTGATGGCTACAGCTTGCCTTCACTGCTTAATGCAGCTGCCCAGCAGTACCGCACTGACAGGTCCATGGAGGCATACTGGCACACTTGTGCTTTGTCTTGATCATATTTAAAACAAGAAGATCTTTCCAAGCTGTTTTGACTATCTTTTTAGAATATGACTTGCAGTGTGCATTTACTAAGGAATGAACAGAAGCCAGGCTTGCTGCAATGCTAACCAAGTCCTCTGGGAGAGACAGGAGCTCTCCTTGGATCTCCTTATTTGGGTCAGTGGTAGTTTTGCTCTAGTTTCCTGGGAAAGGAAACAAGTTTCTCTACCAAATGATTCAGTGAAGACAATCAGGTGACTCTGAAAAGAACAAAACTACTCCTTTCCTCTGAGGCAGCCTGGGCATTACTGGTCTGTACAGCCTGAGAACCTGTTGCAGCCTGTAAAGCCACCAGTAACTGTACTCACTTCCAGGAAAAGCCTAGTTCAACTGGTTGTAGTGAAAGCATCCCAGAAAGGTGCTCAACAGTTGACAAAGCAGTAGTAAGGACTTTATATTTGGGTTACTAAAGATATTATGCCAAAAACTTTGAAATGAAGTAAAAAGGAGCTTCTGCCATGAGAGAGTAGCTCCACTGCAGGCCCAGGTACAACTAACCGACTCCGCTCTCACGCCGCATCCATCCCCCCGCACCCTGCAGCCCACCGTGCCCTCGGAGCAGGCTCAGCGCCCTCCAGGGCGGGAGCGAGGAGACACAGCTGGAGCTGGGGGCACTCGGCCAGGACTCGAGTCCCAACTCTCCAGTTTCTGCAGAGCAGCCAGTCAGCTCCATTTGGAAAAGGCAAAATCCGTGATGCAGAAGTAGTAAAACATTTCAGGGAAACAAGAATTGGTTGTAATGGAATCAGGCGGCTTTACAGTAACAGGAGCACCAAAGGTGTCTCAGAAGGTGTGGTTACTCAGTCGGCTGCTACCACGTTACACACCTACATCCACAAAGATAACTGGAGGTTTGGATTAACAGGGCTTTAAATATATGTGTGCTTTTGCACACAATTACGAAATTCATTACTCCCTGCACAGCAGAAACTGTTGTCTTTTACAGGTGTAGCTGCTCCAAGAATCAGACCAAAGCAGTTGTGTCTCCAAAAGGAAAGTGAATCTTCCTACATGAAATCTGCCCTGGACTGACTGGTCTGCTACTCTATGCATTAGGCTTGTGACACAGATATCGCAGTTGTTTGAGCACTGCTGGTTGTTGCTTTAATTTCCTATGTAAATAAATGTAATGTAAACACACTCAGCTTTTCTTACAGCTGCTAAAAACATGACCTGCAAATCTACCTACGCTCACCTTGCACTTACAGCCTACACTCTATAGGTAAGGCAGTGAAATCACAGAAGTTAAAATCATTGAAAGACACACCCACCTGTAACATAGTTTTACTACCCCTTTCTACGTAGGGTTTTTTTTTTTTTCCCACATATGCATACTATCTTCATTTTATCAAGTTTCCTTCATATCACATTATTCTCCAGAGAGGCTTTTTCAAGAGATTGAAGAAAAAAAAAAACCAACCCAAACTATCTTCTTAAACCTTAAACACTTCAGTCAAATGAAGGTCAAAAGATCACTCTGGCAAAAGCAGATGAAAAGCTGACCACCAGGTTTGGCCACCCTACCTTATTCCTTATTCCAATGGCACCTTCCCCCACAAATAGCTCCAAGATTTCTTGAGCACTACTTGCACAGGAATGCATTCAGATTCTCAGTATTGTCAGAACCTATTTCTACAATTTAAGAATAGCACAAACAGGAGTGTGACATTTTACAGTAAGCTCTCCAGCTTCCTAAGAAGCTTGATGCTATGTAGTTTGCTGCAGTACTGTACATTCCTTTATAGACTCATTGATCTCATACTCCATACAGTATTTAGCATCTGAGCAGCATATTAAGGGAGATTTTGAAGGTACACATTCAAGTTGGAATTCTGAATTCCCTGGCTTTCAGTGGGAGACTGGTTTCTAACCCCCCATGTGATTTGCAAAGCTTCCTTTTCAGCAGGTCTCCCTAAACTGATCCCCCAACCTCTATGTTTGCATTTACACTGATAATTGTGTTTTATTTGGGAAACTCTAGTGCCTTTTCAGTCTTATATAAATGTGTATATAGATGTGCTCTATAAGTACAGGATATGTCATATACAGCCAGTGTTTGCTATCAACTGTACTCATTAAACATATTTACATACACAGCTTTTTGGCTTCTAACCTTTCGGTGTATGGTTTCTGTATCCAGTCATTAACACACTGCTCCTTTCCACTTCCACAATAAATCAGAGTGATTTGGTTTTGTTTATTTCTAGAAACACTCAAAATCACAATAAAACTTCACATTTGTACAGCACTGTGTGTTCTCTACCTTCAAAAGAATGATCTCTGTGAGTTTACATACGCAAGACCTTTTTTGCTAAGGACCTGATCCAGTCAGATACCGAATGTCCTTAAATCCTGCGCCACTGGTAGGGCTGGAGAGCCCTGCAATGCCTCAGGCAGGGCTCTGACAAGAAGCAAATCACCAAGATTATGACATTAAGCTTTCCACCCCAAGCTGTGTACATCAGTCCTCCTCCTTCTGGCATAGGGTGATACTTCACAATATAATTCAGACCAGTTTCTCGGAGGTTAACCCAAAGCTCAGCCCGGGATGATGCTGAAGGGTATTGGCATGTCGGTGTGGGCTACAGACAGACACAAGTTCTGCCTGCGAGCATGTCTAGATTCAGAGCTTTAGAGATTGAAGCCTTTAGGATGCTGATAATTACTGGTAGGGTAAAGCAGCAAGGAGACAAACTTCAGTAGCAAGAGACAGAATAGTGAGAAGACATGAAAAAAAAAAAAAAAAAAATCAGTGATCTCTTTTCTTCCCCAATGAAAGAATATTATCATAATAATCAAATCATTAGAGGCCTCTTTCTACATGCTGCATGCCCAAGCAAGCAATTCCCTCAGTACAACACAGATACTAATTCCCTGCCAGCCCTGATGAGCAAGTAGAACCCCCAGGCCCGCGACTCCCCTCTCCAGCACTTGCTCACGTGGCAGCAGGGCACGTGATGGAGCGCTGAGGCAGCAGCACCGAGAAGTGAAAAGCCACTGTGAGACCACCCGTTGCTGCATGTTCCACCACAGGACACCAGTAGCTGAGTGGCTGTACAACACACACGGGCCGTTCCGGTGCCAAAACAAATCTGTGAAAGGTGGACAAGTTGCAGGGTGTCAAGCATGTTCCGGTGTCAAAAAAACAGAAGTATACAGAAACAGGAAAACCAAGGAAAATTGCAACTCCTGATGAATTTTAAGTACTTGTCAAACAGTTATGAAACAAGACTCCAGCACTGTAATTCTGATGAACACGTAATACATTTGTGTGCTTTTATCCTTCAGTAGGGTCTCAAGGAGCTAAGGGGAGATGAGTCATTATTACATTTGCCTGTTACAAGTTTGAGACTAAGCAGCTGAAAAGGGAACTTTGTACAGGTACTCTAGAGCAATCAGAAATGCTAGCACTGCTTCAACCGCTGTTAAGGCTGCCTACAACCATGGGGACTTCATTCTTCCCTAGGACCGAGGCATTTCTCACTGTGTTTTTAAATAAGGACATTCAGATGCAGCCGTGGCTGAGAACGATCCTCGATGAGCTTGTTAGATACTTTTGGCTTCCACTAGTGCCTGGAGGAATCTAAACCAGCAGCAGTCTTACCCAAACTCCCTAACCCAAAGTTGGGTAAGAACTCTTAAGGGAGGGGTGCACTTCTGGTCCCTAGTAAAAACAACAAAATGTGGGTGCCAGCAGCAGCCACCCAGACAGGCTGGCGGACAAAGGCTCTGTGGAGGGCTGCTGCTTTCAGGACCAGGAATGGTAAACCCTACGCAGACTGACGTTTTTATTCTAAAATTATTTAATCCTAAACACTTTGCTCTAAATAAAAATCTCTTTTAAAGAATGTTGTTAGCAAGTTATGAGCAGGTCACTCGAATACTAGACAAAGATTTCAGCAGCTCACACGTTATGACTCTTCTTCACAGGAACACAGACTCGCTCTCTCTGCAGTGCAGTGGGGTACAGAGCACTCAGACAATGGGAATGGAATTATTACAGATATATGATGCACAAGAACCGAAAGCTGCTTCCCATTTACTGTTTGAAGAAAGGCTGCGGGACCCTTCTACACCAGCCAGCTTAACTCAGCAGGTTACAAGTGCTATCCTTCAAGTTTTTCATAAAAAGAAATCCAGCGCAGTTCATGGTTTATTTTTTTGTTTTGTTTTAAACCAAGCATATCTTTTACTCAAGTTCTAAGGCGGATATTAATAAGGAAACATGGTAGCTTGGCAGGCTAGCAGAGGCTTTAAGTTCTTTAGAAAGTCTGGACATAATCACCTCATACTTAAGCAGCTGTGATTTGTCATCAGCTGTTCAACATCATTTCAGCAATTATAGTTTATTATCTACACATGTTGATTCATTGCTAAAAGCACTACTCTTGACAAATACTCCAATATTCTTAAATTACAAACACCTTGGGGAAGACTGCAGTTAGGTAACTTAAAATGCCCGAAATTTTCAACAACATGCAATTTATGAGCACAAATTACCAAAAATCAAAGCGAGTTTTATTCCCACAGGAAATAAATTTCTCTCATATATAGTATCATTGTGATAATAAAATCCTAATGTTAAATACCATACTGCTTTAGTTCTGGACCTTAAGAACAAATGTTCTGAGACAAATGAGAATTAGCTTGCCTGGGGAAATTGAAAAGCCTCTGTCCTTGGAGGCATCCAGGATCCAGCAAATGAAGCCAAACTCACCTGATCACCTGTTGGTGATAATCCCACTTCAAGCCAGGCCAGGTTTAGCCTAACAGATCCTCCAGGGAGCCCTCCCAAGCACCATGCCTATTATTCTATGAATTCTGACAGGTTTTAATAGAACAGCCCTAGGATTGTAAAGACTACCATTAAATATTGTATTTGAAAAGCACTGACCCTCACAAAAAAACCTGCTCACTATGGCAGACCACATTGGAAAGCTTAAAACACCCTCACTCTTACATAATCATACCAAACCTGGGGGGGGGCAGAAATCAGACACTATTCAAATGAAGTCATGCAGCATCCCAATATCAATCAAAGGGCAAGAAAATTCAGTCACAATTAAATTGCTTTATTGATATCAACTCATCCTTAATCAGTATTTCAGTTTCATTTTAATTCCAGCAATGATTACAACAAAATTAAGATGTGCTTTTAATGCAGAAATATTTAATTAAATGATATTGGACCTGATGCAGCCAACAGCCAGCTGGTCTGGACAAAGAGAACCGAGAAGGCTGTAATGCACATCAGCTTGTAGGAAACAACAATGCAGCATGGATTGTTATCACTGGTATCTCCACACTCCATCTTAAAAAACAGCAAAGCAGGAAGTTAAGCAGTTCATGCAGGAAGAAATAAAAAGCCAGATATGCTAAGGAAATCCCTGAATGAGCTTGTTAGCCCAGCAGAATTTAACGAATTATAATTGCCTCTGAGAACTGGCAAGGCAAGGTTTATATTACAATTAAAAGAGAAAGTTCCTTTGACAAACCTCAGACCAAATTTCAGTTGGATTTAGTTTCCAACTTACTATCCTGGACATACCCAGAGCTCAGAGTCCAAACCTCCACCGTTTCATGCATTCATCTGTCAAAACTGTCTGCTAGTGAAAGCAAAGGTATGGTGTAAGGCCAGACTGTCTTTTACCCTGCAATACTTAGTCATGCTCAACTCTTCAAATAACTGGCTTGTAATACAAAACAAACCCCTTTAATTGTGCCTCTAGTTCTTACAGAAACAGATCAAGCTAATTCCTTTTTCCAAGAATACTGAGCATTTAATATGTTATCGGATGGTCTGCGTCCTATTGCTACAAACACAGAGGCTGAAGTATCAGAATGTCTAAAAACTGTCAAATTATGTTGTCTATACAACATACAAACAGCAGCCAGCCTAGTCACACTTTTTTTCCTTGTAAGAAGGGAAAGTCTCAGAATTCTTAAATAGCAGCTGGATGTCTGTGTTAAAGAGTGTGCAGAAACGCAGGGGTACACAGTTAAACCAAGGTAAGGAAACTGTTTTTTTCCAAACATTACAAATTGAATACAGAAATTAATAAAATATAAATTCTGATTAGAATTCTAGCGTTTACCATTTAGAAACTGGTACTGTTAAACACAAGGTTTCTGAAATTATTTTGGGTACTCTGACTTCCTGAGAATACAGTTTGACTTTTCAGAAGCTTGCTGTAATACCCATGGCTTAGGAAGATGTTAACCAGTAAGCTGCTCTTTCACTCAGTCTGTCCATTGACCCGGCAATTTGTATCCGAACAAAAGATGAGTTCCTTCTCTACGACAAGCAAATTAAAAAAAAGAATTCCTAACGTGTTTGGACACACAGAAATACCACCTAGATAAAATCTGCAACATTAATGTCTCTGGGGAGCAAAATAACAAGGATTAAACAGGCTAACCACACAACATACAGAAAGGACAACTGGCCAGGCTTACCGGATCTGCTGCTTAGGACAGGGGAACAAACAGGTTTGAGAAGACAGCTACTGCACAAGCAGTCCTCAGTGCAAGCTTCTCAGTGCTTACTGCAGGGGTTTGCACACAACACAAAGGTTTTAGGTTACCTTCATTTACTGCTTCATGGCACCATGCTTGCAACTTTGTGAAAAAGATTTCCACTGGTTTAGCTAAATTTATACACATCCATCATACCAGTTAAGCTAGAGCAACACCTTGTGTGGACACTTATATTGCCTGAGACAAGAACTTTAAGAAGGTGCACATGCATTTTCCAGCAGTAGTTTAAATGTGTTAACTGAAACAAACACCTAGTTCCTTTCAGATTTTTTGATTAGTGACTTCTCCACAACACCTCCAAAATTTATCAGGAGGAAGGTCAACACATTTCAGGACAATCAGCTTTTACAGACTGCATTTCCATACACTTCTCTTCCATTGCTAGAAGCTACTATTGTCAAAAGCAGGCGTGCTTTCAGACATATACCCTTCTCTCCAGTGACACCAGCTCAGGTTTTAAGCCTCGATCTCATCCCAAGAAAAAGTGACTAGCCAGAGAGAAATACTTCACAGACCAGAATCAGCCTGTGATCACCAAGCGAACGGTGTTTATTTTCGAACAAAAATTTCTATGTAAATACCATACTTCCCCTATAAGAAATATTAGTTTACCAATACACAGACAATCACTGACAAGTGATCTAACACTATCATTTATTCAACACTGCAATTTAAACACAAGATATTTGAAATTTCTCTCTGAAATTCATCACCATATTGAAAACAGAAAACATTACAGCTAGAGGAAATTGCACATTTTTGAAAGCAATGATACTATTTGCTTCTAAAGTCCAAAAAAGTAATCAACATTTCAGCTATGTGTTTATCCCACCCCTTCTGGGATTTAAATGCAGCATCTCCATTAAGTCAATCCTACCGAGATAGTTTTAATAAGCCTTAGTGTGATGCACATGCTCCTGTGCCACCGCCAGATTCTTCTTTAAGTTCTGCTGGATTTATTTGCCCCTCTTCTTTTAGCTTCACCTGTCTAAAGTCTTCTCTGACTTCTTCTAGCAGACCTGGCTTGAAGATGACATCCAGTGCTGTCATTGCCAAAGCTTTTGCTGTGCGCAAAGCATAGAACTGAGCATTCTGTGACCCTGTAGAAAAAAAAGTAAGAGAAATTTCAGGTTAGATTACTAATTTTAGCTACAAGCCGCTAACTCACTGCATCAGACAATCTATAAAATAAAGTTTCAGTTGCAAAAACAGTTTCTTAGAAGTTTTCTTGCATGAAGTATGTCTATTTTCTGATGCCTCAAAACAAATTTTCACATGCAAGTGCTTAACTTTCTGCTACTGATATAAACAACTAAGACTGAAAACAGGAAAATGAGTGTTCACATTTTCCTTTTTAGAAAATAGAGTTTTATACCATGATCTCTATCACACTTCCAGACTACTGTGCTTCAGGGGCAAAAACTACGTTTTATCTTGTGGCTCATGTTTAGAAACTCTGAATGTGCTGCTAGGGATAATTGTTCTAATTTCTTCTGTATAGATGGTATACTAAGTCAGGCTTTTAGTACGAATTATGGTTATACACATTTAACTTCAAGCAGAGTAATAGAAATTCTACATTTTGTCAGCTTTTTTTCTGCAACTCTATAATTAACAAATTGTTTCAGGGTCCATATTCAGCTCAGCTCCTATCACGCTTTGTGAAAGCAACTCCATTTCTATATAGGTATTCCCATGCAGCCACCTTCACATCCAGTACTTACACTTTTATACATTTACTGCACAGAGCTTTGAATACCACTGAAGCATGTGAAAGCTTTAATTCTCTGTAATTTGAAATATTTATAATTTCTAGAGTTGCTGCAGTGCAGAGTCACCAAACAGTCTCTACATCGCGTAAGGGTTCCAAATATAAATGTCTAACCCTTTTCACTTCCACTCACCTGCAGCTTCTGTGTACTGCTCAGTATGATTCAGTGCATCAGAGCCAATATAAAAATAAGGATGGAGCCCAGGGACCACAAATGTAACATTTCCAAAGTCCGTGGAACCTAGAAGCGACATAGAAATTTTCTCAGTGAACAAGTGTTGAAGAGTTTTGAATGCAGTAAGAATCCAGCCCGTATCTAAAACAGAATATCCTTTGCCCCAAATACTAAAATAAAAGCATTTCTGAGTCATTCTTCATACAAAAAATCTCCCATCACCAAGATGTTTTCACTAACTAGCCATCTTCAGATGCTGCTCTCCACTGTGCTTCTGATCAATAATCAGTTACTGGACTGCGATGAAGATGTATCAGCATGTTTCTATTCCATTTACTGTTTTTTTTTTTTTTTTTATCAAGCATCCCCTGATAGTAAGCTGTTAATTCAGAAACAATGAAAGCTGTAAACCTTGGAGCTTGGGGCAGTTGAGCTATTTTCCTGCTACAGCCCTTAGAACCAGGCCCAACAATTCCCACTTTTCACCAGGATGCAATTATTCAGCATTAGGTAGGGGACTCTTAAGTAGGAAGAATCTATCTTTAAACAAAAAAAAACTGAGGACAACTGTATCTTCCTGTGCTTTTTGACTATTCTCAGTTATGGAAACCTTAACAACATGAGCACTTCTGAAATAACAATATGAGAACTAAACTCCAGAAAAAACACTAGTGCTTTGCAGACTTAAAAAAAAAATCTTGATAGTAATGCTGCAGATTTTAATGATGATTCTTTCATGCCTGACTAGCACTTTCAGTACATTAGCTAGTGATAGAACCTCTCTCACAATACTGCCTTATCTATTTAATGATACCATCCAGAAGCAGTAGGTCCTTCACAGTAAATTATCCAAGAGTCTACAACTACTTCCTGAGTGTCTTTTTTTTTTTCTTACCCAAACAAGCAATCCACTCAGTATTTGTTAAAATGACATTTAGAAGCTGGAGAAATCAACATATCAATTATTGTGATATTCAGGTATCAGAGGAAGCATTGTTTTGTAGCAGGGAAAAATGGGGATAACCAACTAAGATCTCTATTAACCCTTTTCAGCCCAATCAGACCTATAAGAATTTTTTTCTTTAACAATGGCATATAAAAATGACTGTTCCAAAGATTCAAAATTATTTGTAACACATAAGGTCGCCCCCATATCATGATACTTTACGGAGAGAAGATATTGCTAATGCCTTATTAGTAATGAATTGATTGAAGAATACAGATTTTACTTGGAAGCATATGGTTATTAAAAGTGAGTCCACAGAGCCTACAGTATGCGACCAAAGTGGACAAGACTAGCTTGCTATTTGCTCTGCCCAAACACAGATGCAGCAAGGCTTGTCCAAAACCACAATCTTCTTTCAGTATGCATTTGAAGAAAATCCAACCACTGGCACAGCAACAAGGTGTATTAATTTTCAGCAGTCTACGCAACTGATCCATTCACTGGTCAGTCTGGAAAGACAAACCAGAAGTCTAGAAGTTCTGGCTACTCCAGACTAAACCAAGAGTTCTAGACTTGCCTTCCTAAGTCCTAATATACAAACTGCTGGAAAGACTGTGTTGGCCTTTTTCCCTGCTCTCACTCAGCAAATGAAGCATTAGAAATTTCAGTGCATCCCAGCTCTCAGTCACGTAATTCCACTTAAATTTATATTCATATCCAATCGACTGCCAGTTTCCAAGTTATCTTTGCTGAACGTAGGGGATTTAAACTTGGTATTTCCCAGTAAGATGAAGAGCTTACCAAGCCAAAGTCCAGCCAGCTTTTAATAAAAATGTGACAGCCAAATCTTCCCTTCTATCAGAAAAAATGTCACACCCTTTAGTGGGAATAACCTAGAGGCATGTTTAAAACATCAGGTGTTCCAATGTTTTCCATAAAAACATCTGAAACTCTATGCTTGCTAGAGACGTACAGATCAGGATTCCTTCTAGAAGCATAATTGCAGTTATCAATGCAATATACAGACTTGTGCACTATCTTCAGCTAGAAAGGTATTGGGAGCTCCTGCCTCTCAAAAAATGTATCCCGAAGCTGATACTGAAACCTCTTCAAGTCACTGAACGCATAATGGAAGTCAGTATTACCACAAACATAACTGGAGGGCAAAATGCAAAAGATTCCAGGAAGCATTTCTAAACAGTCCCAAAGCTTCAGAAGTGGTATTTTCAAAACATACTGCCTCCTTCTTAGGACTGTCTGTATCAGTCTTGTGCACAGAAAGCCAATGAACCCCATGAATGCTAAAAATATCAAAAGTTATCACAAGCATGGGTGCCTCAACTAAGGCATGCTAAACCAAGCCGTTTGGGAGGTTAATAACCTGTAGCAGAGCCACCCTACCAGCCGAAGGAGAAACAGGTTATGGCACCTGGTCAAAGCTAACTCAGATTCACATCATTTCACATCATCCTGGCTGTGTGTCAAATGAGCAGAGCGTGCACAAGGCACACACGAGGTAGTGTGATTTGATGGACTAAAGGAATTCTTCGTAACGCTTAGCTGCCTAAAGCGATACCTGTAAGCAGACCGATACTAATACCCATGCAGAGGTGGCAGCGAGTATGCTCATCTGTTAACGACTTTTCTGCTGCACAGACATGGAGAAGCAACTGAGCTATCTTCCTTCCCTTTCAACAGAAGAAACTGATATCCTAAAAGAAAACATTGAAAACCGTATGAAAACTAAACAGAAATAGAGGTCTTTTTCAAGACGAGACAAAACAACCCCCCCCAAAAAGGGTAGCATACAAAGTTCCACTCCTAGGTCTCTGGAGACTGTGCTTTGTTAACAGTCCTGAATCCCCACTGCAGAAATCCAGAACAGAAGCTGTGGAAAGAAAATTCAGTAAAGCCTACTGCAGTGTGAGATAAAAACGCAGTTGCTGAAGCACATTTTGACATGTGACAAGCAATTTAAGTACAGGACAGGCATATGGGGAGTTTCAGTTTAATTTAATGGTTAACATTTGCCATATCATGTAACTTACATACAAAAGCACTATTACAATTAGGTGTCTGTACTAAGTTCACTTGAAGTCCTCTGAACCAGCAAGATCACCAGTATTCATGATCTCCACCCTTAATACAACAGTTGAAGGAATCAACTAGCCGAGCTCCAGAAAGTTTCACTACAGTAAACATTCTAAGTAAGGTTACTCAGCCCCTTTCTTAAGCTAAACGAGCACAGTAGTAAAACTTACTTGTACCACACTGAAAAAAGAAATCTGTCTTTACTTATAAATTGTTTTTAAACACAAGACAATGAACCACTTGGAGATAATATGCTACTGTTGCCTGAATTTGGAAGGGAAGTAAGAAGTAGGAAAAACCCAACAGAATACCATCAGATACGTTGTCTCTCCCACCTAAAAAAAAAAGTTGACAACTCTGTCCCCAAACACCAAGATCTCAACTGTTCAAAGATAAACTGCATTTAATGTAGAGAAGATTAGTACCACAGTAACAACTTTTACAGAGAACAATCTTTTCCTTTTAACCAAAAACATTTAACATGAGTGGAGTAAAACCGTTTGTATATACAATTATGATCAGTAGTGAAGGCTATCAAGTATCAGCAGCAGTTAAGACTTGAACAGAGGTCCTGTAGGAAGATTATGAAAAAAAAAAACCTGTTAAGGCTGATGAGAAACCCACCTGAGCATTCAAGAGTTCACATCCCTATTACTATAGCTCTGAGACACCAAGAAAGTGAAACAGTTTGAGACACAGTCAAGACCTGGAAGTGAACACCTACTTGAACAGAACCCTTTGGAAAGCTCATTTTTTGAATTTGTGAACTAAAATTAAGAGGCACAAAATTACCTGTTAATGGAAAGAGGTTTACATTAGCGTTACCGTGATGCTTAAACTTCCAGTTGAAAATATCTTCCAAAACTCCCTCTAAAATATTAGTTAGATGCTAGTAAACTTGTTTATATGTAAGCTTGGAAAGTATTATTAAACAAGGTTCCTAAAAACTAAGTCTCATCTCCATTCATAGTAAACCAAGACTATTTCAAAGCAACAGAATGAACTGCAATTCATTCCATATCATGTTCTCAGGAAGGCTGTTCTTAGCTTTCCATCCTTCCATCCACCCACCCCCCCCAACCAAAACTCTTCCTTACTTTTTTTCAGGAATGCTATCAGAAAATGATTATTGCTTTTCATACCTGTTGGGAAAGTTCCTTGGCTTCTACGACAAATAGAGAAACACAGGCCAGAAGTACGATCCTTTTGCAGAACTTCAACTTTCTAATTTGCTTTTTTCTTCTGACCAAACTATGTTTAATCTAGCTCTGTCCCATTATTTTATATACTTAGGAGTTGACCAACCTAAGCTTAAGCCATAACAAAAAACCCAGATGGAGTTACCTGACAAACCATTCAAGATACAGTCTTCTGATATAAATTCTATTCCAAGCTTCTTTCCATTCTCCTTGTAAATGTTCTGCAGACTCTTATTTGGAAGCACATTGTAGTAATCATTTGCACCACCTTTTATCTCCACCTAGACAAAAACACCAAACGATTAGAAATTTTTCTCCAATTTAAGCCAGTTTAATGTAAACAATTTAAAGACCAGAAAAAATAAGTACGTAACCACACTTCAAACCCATGTGCAAACAGACATAAGTACTAAGCTTCTTTCAAAAATACAACGTTCTGCCAAGTATTACCTTTGATCAAAACACAGCTGGCATTCTATCAAGTTTGCACTAGACAGGCAAATTCCAGAAGCATGGCTTTTATGGGTAGCATCTCCAAAAATAGGACAGAAAACATTTCCTGTAACAGTGTCTAAGGATTTTCAACGCAGGTACTATTAAGCTATATAGAAATCAATTTAGGTTTTCACTAAATTCTATTTTATTATTGCTTAGAACACTTCCAATAACTACAGTCCCATTCATGAAATGACTTCGCACAGGCAAGAAGTTAGAAAACAGATGTAAAAAAACATACTAATGCCAAATTTCAAGAGATCTTAACTTTCATTCTGCGTATAGTACACTTTCTAGAACCCTTTTCCAGCTAGAATGGAGGGGCCATACTAGGAAAAGAGCATCTAATGCCTCACACAGACCTTAAAACTCACTAGCTCACATTCGTATACACAATACCTATTTGTTCTGATGAGCATAGACATACTTTTCACAGTTGTATTAGTCAAACCTGTAACTACAGAGCAAGTAAAACTGCCTATCTTAGCAATATGCTGCAAGGTAATCATATTGCTTGAACCAGTTACAGGAAACACTTCCATTTACTAAAAGCAAAAAAGGAGTTACTGAAAAAAACACTCAGTTTTTCACATTTGGTTGCTACATCAGCCTGTTAATAGGCAAAGGACCTAGTGACATAGAATGTGGAAAAAAAGACAAACCACTCAGTATCTATTTTGCCTGTTCCCACTGGTAAGGTTTGACACCAAGCCTCCCAGGACTCTGAGCCTAGCAGCACTGTCTGTAGAAGAGCATCAACCACAGCAAAACCCCAAAGATTATGGGGCACTTAAAGAAACTGTATGTATGCAGGACCAGGCAGGATGCATAGTAAGAGGAACAATAGTAAAGCAATCAGGGAGCTATCATTTTTTAAATGTCATTGAAATAGAGGGATGCTCCAGCTCACTCAAAAATAGACAAAGGTTACATCCACCCTGAAGGGTCAAGAGGACCACCCTGGAAATTACAGACTGGTCAGACTGTCCTATCCAACCCAAACCATTCCATGATTCTATGACCTCTGGAGATCTCTCCCAAACTACATTCTTCTATGATTCTGTGGCATTCTACTTATAAACCAAAGCTTTCTTTCAGGACACAAAGCAACAGAATAGCAAAGAGTATCATAGAAATCTGGATTTATTTCATCTAAACACCATGCAGACAAAAGCATTAAGTCTCAAATTCCTATTATGGCCTACTTTATCTCCAGCATAACAAGAACACATGACCATGAATACATTCTTACTTTACATCCTGTAGCCAGTGCTGCAGATTTGAAGCAGTTCTCAACCTTCTCTGTTAGAACAGAAAGATCTTTCCTTGAAGGGGCACGCAAGTAAAACTCTAGTTCAGTGTAAGAAGGAATGATGTTAGGTTTCACACCACCATTTTTTATTACACCTGTAGAAAGGGAAAAGTCATGTTATCAGTGCTAAATACAACTGCTTGATATTCAGCCCCGTCATGGAACTCCTTGCTCAAGAACTAAATATATAAACAAAAAACATCAGCTGAGCATGAAATACAAAGAATGTCAACAATACAGTAGTATGAGGACAAAGTTTCTTTATCACATCACATTAAGTGGAATATGTACATGTTTTTCATCACAATTTCATTGCATTCTTTGGTTTGACATCTGTTATAAACGTAAGACAAATTAGCATTTGTAATTAATCCCCTGAAATTCAATGCATCAGTCATAAAGCAATCTGGCTGCCATTGAAATAAAAGATGTTGTTATAATGGCTACTTTGGAGTCCAACTTTTAACGGGTTCCTCAGCTATAGTATTTCCAACTTATTTTGCCAGCTTGGAGAGAAATTCAGTAAGTTGCATTTCTCAGCAATACTGGAATAACATGTGTGTTGCAGTGCACAAGTTCATTAGATTCCTCATACTAATTCTTTAGAAATATTGGAATGTATAATACATGTAGTTTTATTCAAGAGTTAAGTTTGAGTTGAAAGTGTTCCCTCAAGGAAATGTGTGACAACTACCTAGTTTTCAATTATGACAGAAGTATTACCATAAAAGACCATAATACTTAGGATATTACAACAATAAAACGTTGTAGACCTCAATTCTACATTAGATTTCAACGCATTAACAGCTAGTTGCTTTCAACAAGCTGTTTGTTTCCCTGGCCTCCTACCCTCAATTTAAATATGTGGAATAATATTTGTTTTCTGTAGAACCTGAGAAACTATTGACCTTAAATGGTAATACTGCATAAAGTTACTGACATGTCACTGAAGCCTGAAAAGACAGCACTATCAGGATGCAAATCGACAAGTTGTCTCTACTTTTGGTACAGAAAACCTATGAAGACTATGAACTCCCCCTCGAGTAAAACCTTTCCAGTCTTGAATACAGTCAAAGCAAACAAAAGTGCTAAATTAAACCTCTATCAGTACTAGTCTGTAACAAAAAGGAACAGCTCAGATGAGAGGGACAGACATCGCAGGAAAGGAACCAGCAAGTCAGCAAGTAAGTAATCATGCAAATTTGCATGACATATACCATAATATATTTGCTCAAAACAAGTAGGCTAACTTTCACTTGTCTTGTCCAGCACATTTGTAAATGGAATTGGATAGTCTAAGAGTAAGTCTACACTTAAATTTCAAAGCAACTGCAATAAAGACTGAACAGCAGATCTAGCTTAAAAGTAGACTGCCTGCACTCTATTAGTAGCACCCAGTTTGACCTCCTCCTAGATGGAACTATTTTTTTTCAACCCGTTTAATACAACTTTTGGAACAAAAAAAAAAGATCTACATTCCTATTTTTAAGAGGGCAACATTTACTTCACTTATAAGCAGGGAAGGAAGATAACTTACCAAATACCAGACAAACTCAAACTAACAATGTTCAAGTACATAAAACACTGCTTAGAAATTCTAGACTTCAAGTAATGGAAATTATTTCAGGTTTTGTTAGTGGGTTAACATTAAGATTTTTAGGATCACTTACGTCAACCACTGCTGTGACTGCAAGTTCTACAACACAAGATCTCTAACACACTGTCGTAACGAAAGCATTGCTAAAATTAAATCTCATTCTGGCTGCTTATACTTTCTCAAAAGTATCTTAAATATTTCTAGTTTGAAAGCCAGGTTTACAACAGCAGTTGTATCAACATAGTAATTTAAGTTTTGCTGTGGTTCAGGAAGTGTTACTGCTAGGAGACTTGTTTAGATACTTATTTCTTTGCCTACATTACCCATGCAGCCTTTAGAAACTACGAAGAAAGCGGTATTCAGTGTTTTGGGCTTTGAGTCAATAGAAGACTTAGGCACCTTAAATCTGCAACACATGGGTTTCAGACACCAAACTCGTAATTAAGTGCCTCGTTTGCTACAGAGCAATAGGATAGAGAGGCTCTGCCCACTGTCTGAAATTCATTTGGGTATGCTGCACAGCAGAACAGCAAACATCTTCATCTACAGTCAAAAGGGGTAGGGCTTCCCGACTCCATCCAGATATCCTGGAGAGAAATACACACATGTATTACACAGCACAAGCAGCCAAGATGTGTAATGATTAGCTCAAAACTTCTGGAAGTGTTTTAAGCTCACAACAGGTATTCCAAATAAACAGTTCTACATTCAGAAGTCCTGTAGAAATGGCAAAGTTTCTTAATTTCAATTTGGAAAACATTGTGTTGGGTGTAATAAGGGAATGCTGGGTTTATAGCTAAAGGGCAGTTTCCACCTCAACTCTTGAAACTTTCTCACTATACAAAAGTAAGCACATGTTGAAGGAGTACAAGTCAAGCTTAACGGTCAACATGGCTTATTGCAAAATGACCTTTCTACTCCAAGGTCTACAAAATATTAAATATTAGAATTCAGTGAGCATCTAGTTGATTGGGCTACTAACCAGAACTACTGGCTTCTGCCATCACTTGTTTTGTACTTCAGCAAATATGCTTCAGTCACTCTAGACCACTACCCCTTTCCAATAAATGCCATCTGATTAATGAATTGTCTACTACAAAAATGATGCAGTAAGTAATACTTCACTTCATTTTTCAGAAGCATTTAATCTTGCACCTTTGCACAACCACGCACATAAGCTTTAAGGAATTCAAGGCCCTGTACCAAAATAAACGTAGCACTTTTAAATTTTTTTCTTTCTGAACTGCAATTTCAAGTGCAAAGACTTAAAATTTGTCTAGCCTCTACCTAGGTACCTGTGTCCTCTTTTAAATCTGGCCTATAAGCCTATTTTCAACAGTTAGTTCTGGACACTGACATGATTTTAAAGATCACAGACAAACTATTTAAACGAAAAGGTGCTATTTCATAATATCTGAAGTGACTAATAATTTAGTGCAATAATGCAATACTATAAATTATGGGATTTTGTAAGTTATTATTTCAACAGCCTAAACTCTTACTTGCTGGACATTAGGTTTAATGAAGATCTCACCATGGACTCTCCAGGTCGGTTTCATTTGCTGTCTTAAAACAGACAGATTGTTGTATGCAAGAACAGCAGCATCTAATGCATTAACTCCTTCCCAAGGATAAGCAGCAGCATGAGAAGCTTTTCCAAAGTATTTCACAGTCACGCTAGGAAATAAAAGGCATTGCTTATTTTTTTTTTTTATTCACTGAAAAAACCTCTAAAATAAAAAGTTCTTTTTGTTCACACAAATATTTGTTATTTACATTTTGTGCAGCAGAACACCAAACAATTTACCTGGCACTACACTGTTGCAAAGTTGAATTATCAGAGTGCAGGAAGATGAAAGATTCCTAGGAGACCAATGAAATGGAACAATACCAAGAGCAAATCAAGCAAAAGAGTTACCAGTAACATAATACTCTATAGCCTTTTCCCGAGAAGTACAGGCTTCACATATTAAATTTCTCCAATACTGTACTGCCTGGCTGTTTGGATTACTAACATCCTTCTCAGATGATAACAAAACCTTTTCCCCAATTCAAAATTAGAAGCTGATTGTCCTGATTCTTGACAAACTTAAATAAAATGTGTACAGTTTAAGATAGCAAAAACACATGAATGAGTATCACATACAATCCACATCTAAATAACAAAAGTTTCAAAAGTATAGTAAAGGCATAGACTAATATAAAATACACTACAGCAATGATATTATTTCCCAGCACTCCTCAAAAATGTTGGTAGAAAGGCTTGCAACAAGGAAGAAATTTAGTGCAAAGGTTATCCTCCAACTTCGTAGAAGGCAAAATACTGTACCTAAACATATCCAGTAAGAATTCATGATTTGCTTCATCTGAGGGCCATTTATATGAGCTTTGCAAAACAATTTAATATTTCAAATTATATGAAAACTTTATACAAGGCAAATATTAAAATACTGACAACTACATAAGGTATTACTATTTATCAAATACATAAATATTAGTTTTTTACCAACGGTAGAGATTTTAACTAAATCTGTTTGTACTCAAGCCCAGTCCTTTACATGAAAAACTCCATCTTCAAGCTCAAAGTGTTCCCCCTGCCCTGGGACACATAACCTATCTCTTACCCAGCTAGGACCAGTCTAACTTGCTTGTCCCTGTCTTACACAAATGCCAATTTAGCCACTTATCCTGAACTGACCCCTCATGCTCTGGACCATGCCACAGCTGTAATACCAAAACTTATAAACACTGTACAGTGAAGAGGGACACGATGGAGTGTACTGGAGCAGCAGAAAATATCTCCTGCTACTGCCTACAATCCAAATTAAGTATGCCCTTTTCCATCCCCTCCTCATTCCCCAAGACAAACAAACATCTCATTCTGCAAAATATGAGTGTTACTTAAAATTTATTATCATTATGAAATCAAGGTAAGAAAACTTATCCATTAACATCCCAAGTATTAGACTGTAACACCTCAAATCAACACAAAGAAGGCAGGACAGATCCCTGGACATTCTCCAAAAAATGGCCAGAAGGCAAAGTAAAGCTGAAAATCATGCTGCAAGGATTTTTTTTTTTTCCCACAAGGAACACGTACTTCTTATTAAAAAAATGTTATTTCAGCATGCCTTTTCTTGTACTTCTGTTGCTAGACAAATATCACATACTCAGAAAACAAACAACAGATTTTGATGAATAACAACACCCTAAGCCAGTTTAAGAACAGCAGCAGAAGAATGTGGATCCTCTCTGACCAACAACAGACTTAAGTGAAGGATAAGCGAATAGGAATCAGCAAATTTTAGCATGTATTCACCACAGTTATCCCAGTACATTAATTTTACTTTAGGAACAAACCAGCTTTCAAAGGTTACAGATATAGTAGTATTAGCAATTTAGTGATCACCAGTCCTTAAGTCCCTTGAAAACAACCAGAGATCGATTACAAAATATCAAAACAGTCTTTGTACCTCTGGAATCTCATAATTACATAAATCATGACATAAGCTCAGTATTTCAAGCCTCTGGAGGTAGTAAATTGTTTCACTCAGTACCTCAATTCCATGCCTCCACCATATTCAGGGTTTAAAAGCCAGCTAGAACTTGTATCCTAGGGCAGATCATCATCTCTGAAGGGAGATTTTAAAATCTTACTGTACCAGCCCCAAAAGACTATTGCAAGAGTTGAACAGAAAGACAAAACTATCAACAAAAAACTGCATCCTGAAGGTTATAAACATAGTCTTAAGGTACAGCAACCAAAAGGCAAACTGTGGTCAGTCCTGGAGATTACAATAACCAGTTAAGACTTTTTAGAAACACAATGATGGAATATAGCAGAGCACTACCTAGGTAAGGAAGACCAGGTGTTGCTAATGTCTGTTTTACCATATAATTTAGCAGTAACAGAAGCAAATTATCCACCAGGAACAGCACTGGCAAAAGCAAAATGGCCAATAAAATCAAGCACATAGGAACTGGAAAGTAGCACAACCAAGCCAAAAACACCTCTCAGTACATCAAGTAAAAAATGACTGGAAAACCAGCTAATTAAATATTACAGAATTTAGTCAGAGAGAGCCAAATGTAATACTCGGAAAAAACTGTTGCACTGGACTGAAGTTACTAGTAGAGTCTCTGCAAGGTAAGATCTTGGGATTAAGAATCATTAGTAACTGTGACATAAAATCTTGTAACAGAACCTGCTGACAGAGTACTGCTGGAACACTATGAAAGCAGAAGAGGTTTATAATATCAAAGAAATAATAGCATGGCCTTGCAGACTGGCAGAGAAATAACAGAATGAAGTCCAAAAATATTTGGAAGAACATGTCCTTACACAGTAAGCATTTGTCTAAAAGCTGATGCTCAAAAATGACTGAAACCCCAAGCATGACAGCTATCTCCAAAATGATAAGGAAACACAGTGGTCCCAGAATCAGCTGAGTAAGGTCTAAGGAAATTCCACCTCATGTACTGTGTACAATTCTGGTTATGCACACCCAGCAAGGAATACTTCAAGATGAGTCAAGTCACTCCAAGTAAAAACAAACAAGTGTTGTCACTGAATAGTAGGGCTAATCAAAAGAAGGCATAATTTCCAAAGAGTTATATGGCTTAGTTGGCAAAAAAAAAAAAAAGCTGAGCGAGGGTATAACTGCTGTCTATACTTACATTGGGGGTAAACATGAAGGAAAGCAAAGAACTACTTTGAATTGAAAAATAAGAAGTTGCTGTGAGATTTAACAGATATAAAACGGCCATGATTAAGTTTAGGCTGATAGTTAATAAGAATCCAAACAGCTGTCAGGCTCCACTTGCTAGCCCCTTCAAAAGTGGGGGAGAAAACCTGAAACTATTACAAAACTGTTTAAAATAAAATGCGTACAGAGAACTACATGACCTGGTGCCCAGGAAAGCAAGTGACTACAATACGTAAGACTCCCTCTAACTGCATTTTTTTTAATTTTTTTTTTTTTTTTAGCAGATAGGATAATCACATGCATGCTTAAAAAGAAACGCCTAGGAATATCATAAACAAGAATGAATTTCTGGGACACGTGCAAGATTACTTCAGAGCAGTGAGGGACCTTTAACACTGAGCTGAACAGTGGTCTTCGGAGGAATGGCTGAGTTTCCAGAACGATGACCTGGCTCTTTAGTTGACTGCACATACTTCAACTGAAGGGCACCTGCAAGCTCCCCAGAGCCTACCAAAGCAGCTCCCCTGCTCGGAGAGGGGAGAAAAAGCTAACGGCAAGCCGATGCTTTCCACCTGAACCCCGCTCACTCACTCGTGCTCAGCCACATCGGGCAGGTAGGCTGCGTTTTCTTGGGAGGGGTGCGCCATAAAAACCACGTCCAGGCCGTCAAACGCTCCGGCGTTGATCAGGTCTATTTTGCCACCTCCTTGCTCCTCCGCCGGCGTCCCCAGCACCGTGATCTGCAGCACAAACGCACGGGAGTCAGGGAAAGGGGGGCCGAGGTCAGGCCCTGCGCCCCCGGGGGGTGGGAGGGGAAGAATTCTTTCCCCCCCCCCCCTCACCTGGACGGCGACGGGCGCCGGCGGCGGCAGGCTCTCCAGCGCGGCCTTCAGCCCCAGCGCGGCGCCGGCGCCCACCTCGGCGATGAGGTTGTGCCCGCAGGCGTGGCCGAGGCCGGGCAACGCGTCGTACTCGCAGAGGAAAGCGACGCGGAGCGGGCGGCGGCCCCGAGGGGCGGCCGTGCCCCACTCGGCGCGGAAGGCCGTGCCCAGGCGGTAGCGCGGCTGCACGGCCCAGGCGGCGCCCGGCAGCTCCCCGCTGGAGAAGAAGCGGGTCATGGCGTCGTGCGCCTGGTGCTCCTCGTAGGCCAGCTCGGGCCGGCTCCAGATGTCGCGGCTCAGCGCGCCCAGCCGCGCCGCGTTCAGCTCCACGCTCTCGCACGCCCGCTGCTTCAGCGCCTCCAGCGCGGCGGCGGGGCCGCTCGGCGGCGGCTCCTGCGGGCCCATGAGGGAGCGGCGAGGCGGCTCCCCACGAGCACCTGCCGGCGCGACGGGACCCACCCTTTCCCGCCCCTGCCCCGCCGCCCTCTGAGCCGCCGCCCGCCGCCGCCCCCTTTTATCACCTCCTCTGCGCCGCGGGGCACGCTGGGAAGTGTAGTTCGCCACCCCGGCACGGCCCGCAGCCGGCGCCCGGCCGGAACTACCCGCCCCAGCGCACCCGCGGGAGCGCCCCCCCCGCCGCGCCGGTGCCTCCCGGAGGGGTTCCGCCGGCGCCCGGCGTGGGATCGCATTTCGCCGCTGTGTATCCGTGCGGGTGCCGCTTCGTGCTTTTAACCGCTGTATTTTGCGGCTGAGATAACGCACACCTGTATTCACCGCCAAAACAAGCTAAATTCAGTCTCCTCCTGCTCTCTGTGTGCCATTTCAAGTGCAAGATCTGCCCGGGCTTGGAAGTTAATACCCGATTGTCTACAACATTTTTTTTTTTTTCTTTTTTTTCAGCTAGGAGTTCTGTCAGCCTGGATTTTGTTTGGCCCTCCATGTTTCTATGTTATTTCTGTCTCTCCTCTCCCCCTGCAGTTAGGCCACCTCCGCTGCCTGCAGCCAGCCTGGCTTCCTCCTGCACCCATGGGGCACGTCACGACGCCCACTATCGCGATGCAGCTGCAGGTCGCACGGGTGCTTCGCCCTGGCACGTGGCAAAGCTGATGGCATCCACAGTGCATGGGCTGAGTCAGGGCACGGCCCACGAGTGGAGAAAGCACAACGCTCTGGGGGAAGCCTGGGCCTCGCCGCCTAAATGCCACGCGGCACGCAGCGAGGCCCACGCAAGTCCGAGCAAGTGACCGGCCATGGCCTTGCTGGCTTTCATAATGAAATCCTGATGATCAAGTGCGTGGGGTTTGGGGATTTTTCTTCTGAAGCTGTTGTGCAGTGCGGCGTTTGTTTAAAATCCCACGTGCACGAATGTTTTGCTAGCAGTGGTTTATGTGAACTTGGAATGGGCGTGAAGTGCTCACCTGGAGTTTTTAGACACAAGCCAGGTAGCAGGAACCTTGCCTACCTAGCCAGCCCATACCTGACAAAAGCTGAACTCAACAGAAACAAAATGACAAATTCTGGTGGTTTTCCTGTATTCATTTAATTACCAGAAATTAACTTTTTGTTCATTTTAATCATAGTTTATCCACCACACCTGTTCTCCGCAACTTTTCCGTCACCTGGAGAAGTGCTTTGGTGTATTGTACTACAGGTTTGCTCTCTCCACAGAAGATGAGGATGTTCTTTTCCTAGTGAAACCCAAACCCTACATGACTCTCAGTCACTTCAGAGTTCAGGCTCCCTTGCCTAATGTTTGTAATGAGCTATTTTTACTCTTGTAACCCACTCTGGCAAGTATCATGGCTGTAGTTAGTTCTTTCCCTCCACCCCCGAATCCTTCCGAGTGGAATAAATCTGTCTACCCCAAAACATGTGCTGAACTTTCAACTATCCTATTGATACATGCAGTTAGAATTTGTCAGCAGCTGAGGGGGCACATACTCAGCAAAGGGGTCACGTAATTCAGGTCTGTTTGCCAAGGGATTTCTTGGACTGGAAGCCCTTTGGAGCAGGCAGAGTGTTGCTGATGATAGTGCCAGAGTTCTTTATGAACAACCACTCTAGGCATCCATCAAACCTAAACACTTGTGGAAAGAGCTGGCTCCTGCTTTAAGTTTTAGTGAGGAGGGGAAAAAAACCCACACCTTTTTTCCCAAGTACCTGGCTCCCTGAGGCACTACTGTTCACTATATAGTTTCATATTTCTTCAGCAAAAACACAGGGTCCTGCTCAGCCCACTGTACCTTTCGCACAGATTCATCCTGTACACTGTATAGCTTTATATACCTGATCAGTAGTTTTGCAGCCAAAGGTGGGTGCTTGCAGTAGTTTTAATATCTGTTAACTGGAAAATTAAACATTCTGTGATATCTAAGTGACTTGCACGTGATTCTTCAGGAGCATTAAACCTACTGGATGGACCTCGTCCAATTGCTCTAACAAAATGAGAGAAACATCGCAGATCATGGTTTTCTGAGGAGGGGAACCATGGCGGGAGCCCTGCATTAAGTTTCACAAATATTTGCTGACAGTGGGGATAAGGTGAGAGTCAGATGGGAACTCTTGGGCTCCATTTCAGTGCAGAAGAGGAGTATCTTCCACAGAGCACAAATTCTTTCATGCCTCACTCCCCAGCCATCACCTTCTTCCATAAATGCCCTCTCAGTCTGTCATTGCCCCATCCGTGGGTGCTTCATACAGCCCCACTTCACCACACCCAGCCAGTTCAACTCTCCACGCCTCAGCATCACCCAAAAAGTACTACTTTGCCCCTCCAGGCTCCAAGTCAGTGTTTGCAGTCCCATTCTCCTCACCTAATGGATCCTGATTCTCCTGTCCTCCTCCCTCCTCCTAGCTATATTCCTTGAATCCACTAGGCACCAGCCTTTCCCTCCCAGCTCTTTCAGCCTTCGCTGAAGACAATCCCAGTTTGCTGCCCAGCCAGCCCAGGCTACCTCTCTACTCCTTTCCTTTCCCAGTCTTCCTAATCCCTATTTTCTTTACAGCTTTCAAAGTCTGCTTTTCTACTTTCCCTCCTTGCTCATACCTCTCCTGTATTTTTTGTGCAGTCTTTATCTGCATCTGAGGAAGAGAATGTCCCATATGATGCAGCCTGTGATTTGAGAATTGAAAATAAGGGGCTTTTTGGCCGAGTAAGTTTTCTACTAGACTGCTGAAATGGCTCTGCATGTGGTCAGATGAGAGCAGTCAGCGCAAGCACACTGCAGATGACATGTCAACATGTGGCCAGGGTGACTGTGACATGAAGAGTAAAGCCAAAGTGGCCAGTGCACTGGCTGGTTCTAGTCTAGGACTGGCTTTAAGCTGCTTTGGCATTACAGCTGAGGATGTTGTGTCTCAGAGACGCAGCTGAGCCTGAGCTAACGAGCACAGGCATGGCGAGACTTGGCCATGGAGCAAATTGCATGGTGGCAGCTGCCTCCAAACAAACTGGCTGCTCGTTTGAAGGGCTGAAGGAGGAGCAAGGAGTGCATAGGAATACAGGCATCTGAAAGTGAGACAAACTTAGCTCTGGCTCATCCAGGGAAGATTTACCACTCATGGGGGGGCAGCTAAATTACTTTTAGGGATTATGTTATCAGCTCACGACTTGCTGTTTTCTTTTCCAACTGAGACATCTCAGATAATCAGAGGGTTGAATTACTCATGTGATCACAGTCTTAGTCGCTTGAAATTAACCTTCAGGATATACTTAAAATCCTCTTTGTCTGCCATCAGGACTTATGAAGCATATATCAATAAAATATCCAATAATTAAAAAAAAAATAAGCATTAAGTTGTTTGTGCCATCTTGACAGTTCCAACTCACATGTTTGAAAACTGATAGTATGTATCATAATCAGTGCTAGCATCAGTTAACATAATAATGGGTATGTTATATTGGTATGTTCCACTTCACAGTCCTAGATAACTTGCACAGTCTGTGAACAACATGATTTTCTATCATTAGTATTGTATGTCTATTTGCCCTAGCTCCCAATTTTTTGTGTGTATAATTGATCTTTCTGAACTACAATATTTTAGAGTGTATAAATGTATTAGACTTCAACAGATGCTGAACCTAGAAAATATAACATGTTCAGCAGGTGTCCATCTTGGGAATGCTGGTATTTTACAACGACCATTTGAGATCTGGAATCACTTTCCTCTTGCAAAAGTATGAGGTATTCATCACACGGTAAAGCAGGCAAAGGAGGAATGTGCTTCAATTTATCTCATGTAGATGAAGAAAAATCACTATGCAATCTTTCCTTACTCCTTTTTCTTCCTTTTCAAAGGAAATGGATGGCCTGCTGCTGATTTCCTCGTCATCAACATTTCCTAGATAAGAAGCTATGGACTATGTCCTAGCAGTATGGGGACTCTCAGTGGCATTGGTGTGTGTTCCAGACTTTCACAAGGTGATCTAAAAATCACATCTACAGATGATTTACAGATGACAGAATCACAGCATCACAGAAGGTTGAGGCTGGGAGGCAACTCAACACCTCATCTAGTCCATCCCCTGCAGGGTCAGCTGGAGCAGGCTGCCCAGCTGGGTTCCGAATATCTCTAAGGATGGAGACTCCACAACCTCTCTGGGCAACCTGTGTCAGTGCCTGGTCACCCTCACAGTGAAAAAGTGGTTTCCTGTGTTCAGATTTAATTTCCTGGGTTTTAATTTGTGCCCATTGCCTCTTGTCCTGTCACTGGACACCACTAAGAAGAGTTTGTCTCTTCAGGTGCTTATACACATTGCTAAGATCCTCCTGAGCCTTCTCGTCTCCAGGCTGCACACTTCCAAATCTCCCAGCCTTTCCCCATATGACAGATGCTCCAGTCCCTCAGTCATTTTCATGGCCCTGCACTGGACTCACTCCAGTAGCTCCGTATTTTCCTTGTATTGGGAAGTCCAGACCCAGACACAGCACTCCATGTGTGGTCTCACCAGTGCTGCACCTCCCTCAGCCTGCTGGCAATGCTCTTCCCAACGCACCTCAGAGTGCTCTCGCCCTTCTTTGCCATGAAGACTTATTGCTGCCTCATGCTTAGCTTGGTGTCCACCAGAACCCCCAGGTTCTTCTCAGCAAAGCTCCTTTCCAGCTGGGTGACCCCCAGCGTGTGCTGGTGCCTGGGGTTATTCCCCCCCAGGGGCAGGGCTTTTCCTTCCCATGGATGAACTTTGTGAGAATTCTCCTAGCACATTTCTCTAGCCTGCGCAGGTCCCTCAGGATGGCAGCACAACTCCCTGGTCTGTCAGCCACTCCTCCCAGTTTTGTGTCATCCGTACACTGTCCAGGATGTCACTGAAGATGCTCAACAGTATTGGACCCAGTATTGACTGCTGGGGTACAGCAGTACTGACTGGCCTCCAGCTGGACTTTATGCCACTGATCACAACCCTCAGCGCCTGACTGTTCAGCTAGATACGCTCCTCGGATACATCTTAGGCCTGTAAGACTCTTAAACCACCTTG